GATGCAACTGTACAAGTGATGAAATATACTACTGAACTTTGGCAGTTTCAGTAACATTTATTAGCACTGTTTCATTTTCTCACTTTCCTCTTCCCAGTTTGTGTATGATTGGACATTCGTATTTAAGCAACATTTTAAATGCTAAATACAATTGAATTTTATCTGGCCAGGGCGGCTTATTTTATAATGTGTGTTTTAATTAAGATTATTTTATATGGATTTTAACTTGTTTTATCTATGTTGTAAGCCGCCCCGAGGCTTCGGCGAATGGGGCGGCATAAAAATGTTTTAATAAATAAATAAAAATATCTGAGATTCTCATTCGTGTTTCATTAACTTAACTCATCCTGGAGGCATCGTGGGCAGATGCACTGTGGTTCTTCCTAAGCCTTTATCCTTTTATAGTTTGGTCTCTAGGTGCTTACTAAGAAGTAAATCCCACCACACTGATAAGAACTCAGAGCCAACCTACATTTAAATGTGCAGCACATCAGCTATTTTTCCTAATTCAGAGGTAAGTGAGGGGGATCTGAACCAGGTGAGGGGGCTTTGATCCTTTGTCCCTCTTGTGGCCCTCATCCTTCTTGGGTCTCCAACAAACATGGCTGACATTTGCCTAGATGTACAGCTAAGCTCTAGCCATAATGTAGCTCTAGTATTGCATAATCTGGATTCTTCACGTGTTGAAACTGGCAAGCATGTTTTCAAGTCATGGGCTGGAATAGATGGTCTTTAGGATCTTTTTAGAACTTCAAGTGTAACACTGGGACAAGTCTATATACAATCTATGTGAGTCCTCCAGCAAAAACAAGTAAACAAATTATATCAGGGAGAGCAGTTTAGGTTTCCTTCCACAAACAAGTTCTTCAGAGTAAAAGACTTGATAAATTGCTAAAGCCAATAGCAAGGCATGTAAACAGAAAAAGATACAATTTATACTGACTCTTCAGAAGATGAAGAAGTTGGTTTGCAGTGCTAGACAACAGGACTCAATTAGCCAAATGGCAGTTAGAAGTACATACCTTCAGTGACAAGCAAGGACAAAGTAAAATTATTATAAACAGAAAAAAGCATTGGCTAATTCCAAAGGAATCTGCAAGTTTAGTGTAAACATATCAAAAGTGCATTTTCAGAAGTCATTTAAAAGCTGTCTCTGTAACAGTAAATGCAAAAACAGTTTGTAGGGAGAAGGTAAAGGAAAGGCCGAACTGATTTCTAGTAATATCATTTATCTAGGGAGTTTGAAAGTGGCCAGTAGGAGTACCCAAGAGACTTTGGGCACATTTTGTTGTTTTATATATAGAATTATCCAAATTCTCCTCTCATAGCATTCTGAATGGCACATAGCAACCAAGTATCTCAGTAGCTAAAATGCACTTATTTCACGTTATGGGGATGCAAGAAAATGTCTCTGCAGGCTGTAGCAAATGTGTGCCAGTCACCCACATTCTTCTGTTAGTCCTAAGCTGTTTGATGTGCTTTTTGGACAGGAGGAGGGCTTCACCGGAGACAGTGGCTTCAGTGGACTCACAAATGTGGTAGTCTCATAACAAACGTTCTTCTATAATTTTTTTAGATCAAAAAGAAGATAAGTCTCCAATTCAGGAAGGTAATTATTTTGTAATCCTGTAACACAGTATGCTCTAACTGGATTCAGCAGGAGGGCATCAAAACTGAAAGTGTGTCTCATTTCCCCAATAGGAACAACTTAACACTCTCAGAATTGAGTGAATTTGTTCTTGAGAATAGTGCCTAATGGATTCTCTCTCCAGCTTTATTCTACAATTCCCATCATCCCTGGCCCTGAGCTGTGCTGGCTGGGGCTGATGGAAGTTATGGACCAAAACATACAGAGGGAGTAAGGCTAGAGAAGACTTCCTAACTTGCAGTAGCTTATTTACACTTATTCTAACTCCCTTCACTGAATGTTACCCCCTTATCTCTAGGTAACTGTGCAGATTTCTGATTTCCTCCTCACAAGGACAGAGCTGTTCATTTACTATTTATTTATTTATTTATTTATTTATTTATTTATTTATTTATTTATTTATTTATTTATTTATTTAAAACATTTATATGCCATTCCCTCATGCCTCAGCATCTTGGCACTACTTTCTAACAACTGGTGCCTTCTCCTGAGATGAGGAGAATTGTTTATCAGGGCCTTAAGTCCTTTCCTACCAACCTTATTTTGCTTTCTCCAAGACTTTCAGGATCCACAAAGTACCTGGAAGGGAGCAAAGACAGTGCTGGGGTCACACAGGACATATATCCCAAAGAAGAGCTTTCTCTGATCTGGTAACCTCCAGAAGTGTTGGACTACAACTCTTCATATTCCTGACCGCTGGAGGAACCTGGCCGGAGAATTCTGATGTAAATCATGCGGATCTCCACAGCAGACCTTTTTATAGCTAGGAAGCATGGCTTCAGTCTTCACAGCTAGAAACACAGAGGTCCAGTTCAACGTCAGTACCTGCTCCTGCCCTTCAACTGTCCCTGGTCTGGCATGGCAAATGGAGGCATCTCTGCTGTCTAGCTGAGCAGTTGTCTAGCAAGTCCCATCAGGAAGCTGTGGGTGACTTTCCTCATCATGGTGACCGGCTTTCCCATAGCGAACACCTCCTCTGCAGCTGTATAAACTATTAGAATTCACCCCATGAGTCATGGCCATCAGAAAATGAGTTCTCTCTCCCCTGCTGCTGAACACTATTTATGTGAATCATGGTCACTACATGATGGCCCCCAAATCACACGCTGAATGGTAATAGGCAATCAGGCCATCGGGTAGGAAATTCTCCTTAAGGGTACCAATTCCCTCCACAGATACAATAGCCTGAGCAGCAATTACGTCCAGTTTTTCAAGGGCAAAATGATTCCTTCATCAGATTCTCTGCTCATAAACTTCCACTAAATGCAGAGGTCCCTACGGAACCTACTTGAGTATTGGCAGACCAGGTTTTAGAATCCTGGGTGCAGTTTCAGTCTTGAACAGGGGAGAGAAAGACAGGCAGGCCACACTCCGCACCCCTCCACTTTCTCTTACTGCAACTCCATAAGCTTCAAGGAAAGTCTTTTGGAAGGACCAAGCACTCATGTTCCTTCCCAATTCTCTTCCTCGCACCTATCCTGCCTTCACTTCAATTCTGGGCATATCCACTGTTCCTGGCACTTAAGTCAGTTTAAAGCTTGCACTTCTCATTAACAAAGATGAAGAGAGAGATGGAAGGAAGTGCCTTCTGTCAGAACTGTCTTCTGTCTTTCTAGCAACCTCTGCTAGCAACCTCTGCTTAGGCGAAAAATCCCCTTAAAGAGAAAGCCAGCCCCATATTCCACTCATGTGCTGCTTAAGATTCATGGGCAACATTATGAACTGCTAGCAGCCAGGCCCCATTCAGAGGATAGGTAGCAATTTCTGTTCTACACCCCACTGACCCTGCCAAGGGATTGTGTCACATTTTAACCAAATTGAATATGAAATGTCTTCTGTGAAATATAAAATACGAGCGCTGCTCCTCTGGGTGTGCGCATGGATAGTCAGGTTGTGAAGTGGATATGATGAGAGTAGAATGACAAGACACTGAAACATGCTTTATAAATATCTGAATGACTCAGTACAGGAACACTTCATGCAAAAAGAGAATGGGCTCAGAGAGAGAGGGCAAGAGAGAGCGCGCGTGAGAGAAAGTAAGCGCGCGCGAGAAAGAGAGAGAGAGCGAGCGAGCGAGCGTGAGAGAGAGGGAGAGAGAGGGAGAGCGATTGAGTTCTTGTCCCTTTGAATGGGAAACTTCTTCAAAACACCATTCTGTCTTATTTATTTCAGCATGTAAAGTATTGTGTGTATTTCATCTATAATAGATTGGATCATCTCATTTTACTATCACAACGGTGGCATAACAATTGCTTGCTTTTCTCCATTCTGTAAATGCTGAAGCTTCTCAGAACTCTGCACTGGTGGAAAGTCAACCTCCTTGAACATTTCCACCCATACTTTTAAATGGATGTTGCAAACCTAAAGGGTAGCAATAAGGGCCAAATGAGAAGATATCAAGAGGTTGACCGACCTATCCAGAGCAGCCATTCAGAAAGTGAGCTAGATGATAGCCTACCACCCACACCGTTAGCAATGTCGTGCTTTGCAGAGTCCTCCGCTTTGCTGATGTGACTCAGGTGCGCAGTGAGAATCCACATGGCCTTTGTGTGCCAAGTTTATAACACAGTCAGCTGCGGGATGTTGGGAGCCACAGTAAATAGGGCCCAATGTCCTGAAATCACTTTTCTCTGTGATGAGATATGGGGATTAGCAGATCCATGCAGTCTCTGATCAAGTGATTACTTCTGCGGCAGCCCGGTAACCCGACAGAGACTGGCCAGACCCTCCACGAATGACCCTGCCCCACTGTAGTCACATGCCTGCGTGTGCTCAAGGAAGGAGGAGCAGTCTCTGTGCTTCAAGAGTTCAATCTGGAGGCACTTAGCAGACTGGAGGCAAGCAGGCAGTCCAGCTGGCAAGCCCAGGTGGCTGGATGGTCCGTCGGCAGCCTTGTACACGAGTGCAGCACTGGCAGGGAAAGGGTGCCAGGTGAGGCAAGAGCAGCCCTTCTCTTGACCAGGGAGTGTAGTAGTGGGAGCCAGACTGCTTACTTTGTGCCACCACTGAGATGCTGGCACAGAATTCCCACCACCAGAAGGCCGTACTGCAGCACTAACTCCATAACTGGTGCTCCAGCTGATGCTACAGCATGGCGCTGGAGTGGTTTGCTCGAGCATAATGTAATTTGCCTTAGCAGTTGTGCCCCACTGAACACGCCCCCTGCTGACAAAGGGGTTGAGTAGGATGCCACCTATTAATGCAAAATACTGCCTCTTTGTAAGGATATCTGGATTCAGAATAAGGCTTTTCTATGCACTGATGTACAGACTATGTGAGTGAATTTTACTTTGTGAAACAGTCATAGAAATCCATTGCGTATTAGTAACAAGACCAGTTCCATACCACAGCATTTAATGGACTGTACAGTTTATTTTACATGAGATGAAACAAAGCTTTTCAAGTGCATAATACAAACTTGCTAAAATAGAGGAAAATACAAATTTATGGAAATGTTTGTACATAAGATGGAAAAGTTGTATAGCAAATACCTTCAACATTTAAGGGCTAGATCTTTAGCTGGGGTATATCAGTGCAACTCCATTGACATTAACATTTAAGAAACATACCTGAACTGACAACATGGCCCTTAAATCTTAATGAGCATTTACCTCTTCAGCTGCAGTGTTTTAGTCATACAATTGCATGGGAACAAAAAGAACAAACAAACAAACAAACAAACCAAAAAAGGCCATATTAATAGTTTTCACAATGATTAAAGGCTCACTGCTGTTATTCATACACAGAGCTTACAGTAGAATTAGGTTTTTAAATGTCTAATCAGTCAAAAATTTGCTGCAAAGTATTAAAAAGTTCAAAGCCATTACTGCTGGCAGAAGACACATTTTACTGTAAAAATTTAGAAAGTGTTTAGTAAAAGGTACAGGCTAAAAAGATCAGATAGGCAATGCCATTTTAAAAAACTGCTTTGGAGGATTGCTAGTTGTTGGCCAGATTTTCCCTCCAAATCTATCATGCAGTTTCAATTTTTTTTCTTGGATCATGAAAATGAATACAATTGTATTTCTTTACCTCTATAGTCTGTGAGTAGTTTAGAATGTATGGGAAAACAAGCTGGGATAAAAAGGAATGTTGTTTTCAGAAGGTTGTTCTAACATAGGAGACACACAGCAAGTTCAGATAACTCAGAAAGATGTGCGACTAAGGACCAGGTAGCAGAAATTCTAGTGTGGAGCAATTTTGGAAAGATACAGAAGACTCTAGTTGCAAGAATTCAAGCATAATCCACACAGTCGCAATCCTAAACATACTTAATTGGGCATGAGTTGCTTCGAACTCAGTGGGACTTCTGGGTAAACAGGCATGGGCTGCAAGTTCCACTGACTACAGCGGGAATTAAATTCACTTAAATGCACTAGATTGCAGCCACAGTCGCTTTTGTGCAATAGACAGTCAGGCTATTGCACAGGCATGCCAAAAAGAACTGCAACTAGGCAGTCAACCTCTGAAGATACTCTGCTAACATTATTGAATGTGCACTAGGATCCAAAGATCTAAGAATACTGAGAGAATAGCATGACTGGTGTCACGTTCTATAAATCCTGAAGAACCAAAATGTTCACAACACATTCACGGTTCACATTCAAAGCACCCTCCATGAGCATCACTTGGAAGACAAAGTAACAGGTTCATTCGAGGAGCACACCTGTGTTGCTCTAATGCTGCCATGTTTGATCTGATTGACTGTAAAGAGCACCTCTTTCAGCAATACTCTCATGGAAGGAAGTGCACAGATATAAACTTGCCAAGGTTTAAAGGCAAAAGAAAGATTCTACACATTTTCTGATGGGCTGGTATATGATATTCTACTAGTATTGAATTTATAAAAAATCTTATATAAAAATCCTATAATTCTAAATTCTAAAAATCCACACAGTGGATTCTGATCTCAGAAATGCAAAATCTAATGATCTGGAGTGGTATTCCTCTAAGGCTACAATCCTACACATACTTCCCAGGGTGCACATCTGGCTGAAAACAATGGAACCCCTGGCAGTCAAGCACAGGATTGCACTCTGAGAGATTATTTTGGCATTGGTACCCAAAATCCCCTGGCATTTGAACTTTAGTGTGAAAACCAATCCGTGTCTAATCCACAGAAGAAGCAGTTTGACCTCATTTTATTCTGATTTTTATATGGTTTCTCTAAATTTCCAATTCTCTATGTCCCTGATTCCTCCACACCACCATCACCACCAAAAATTCATTACACTGTTTTTCATATGGTGCAAATACTAGAATGAGGGTATCTGGCTAGGCTTGCACAACATTTGATACTGTAAAGACTCAGGAAGGAATAAAGACCTAGACAGCATTGGTGAGATCACCATCTTGCTGAAATCAATAGCACGGTTTCTGGATTGCACTGTAAGCTGTTGTGTATCACCCCTTGACATTCCTAAACAAACCGAGACATGAACATCCATGTCTGACCAGATAAAGTTGGAAGTATCCTGCAGCAGCAGGAGGAAGAAACTACCTTTGCAAGCATGCAAAAAGTGGTTTGTCATCTGAATCAGGCCTCCATGGTGTATTCTGAGGCATATAGCAATAGTTATATAGTTTCCTAACCAGGAAACGTCACTGCCTCAAAAAAGCTTGTCCCAAGAGCTAGGTCCTCTGCATATGGGAGAGCCTTTTGGGGTCTTGTTTTATGGCAGTTTGAGAACCAAAGAACTATATCCTTTCTCCTCAGGGAATGATAGCAGAAGACTCTCAAAGCACCACGGCAGAAGATTTTACACACCCGTTAGGGCTACAAATACTTTGGCTGATTGGCTTTGATGAAACGCAAGGGAGATTCACAGAGAAGTGAAGCAAGGAAAATTCATGCAAGATCAGCAGTATGTGATGCGTGTTGGTGCCACCTTCTGGCACTCTGCGTAGCTAATACCACATCTGAGTGCTAGTCCGACTGCTGGAGAATCTGACAACTGCATGCTGTGCCGCTGAGTGTTAAAGTCCACTCTCACACACCCTAGTTATTGGGTCTTGTGGACTATATGAGCTGACCTCAAGGGCTATTTCTGCCTCTGGGCTCTCCACATACTCAAAGGGAAATTTCCAAAATACGTCAGCTAGTTATCCAGCTCCTTTCAACAAGAACGCCATCTGCAATCACTCTTGGCTGCTCTCTGGCCAAGCACCAGTCAGCTCTGAGTACATGGAACCACTGCATGGATGCCTGTTGCTGGACAGAAGCTGAGCTAAAACTATTGGACTGCAAGGAATTTAGCTATTTACACTATTCACATAGCCTTATCCATATTATATGCCAGCACCGACGCTTCGATATCAAGGCCAAATCTGCACTACAGATTTATGCCAATCTAACAGTCATTTCCCCTCCCTGGGTACCCCAGGGTTGTAATTCTGATTCCACCACCAGGCTCCCTCACATAAGTAGCTTTCTGCAGGTCTCAGGTCCAGCTGCTCCTGGAAGTCCTGCCTATAAGCTACACTTCCTGCACAGTACATTAACAGCCCATGCAGAATTTCGCTCTCCAAAATCCATTTTTTGGCTGAATCGATTTGTAAGCAAATGGGGGAGGGAACCAATAGCAGGCCTTATATCATCACCTCTTAAGCAAGTTTAGAACAATGATCAGTATCCTGAGTGTCTGCTCTTGGACCTATAGGAGGAAATGGGAACAAAACGAGGCAAATAATATGGATCCATCCTTGGTCAATGGCTTCCATATACCAAAATAAGAAATCTATCCTGGTGCTGAACAAGAGAGTGTGTATCTAACAGTGCCAATCACCATGAGTCACATAGGAATTTGCCAAATCCTTTTCTTTCTTTAAGCCATATGAGCTCCAAACGTTTCTTGAGAAGTGACTGCACGGGCGAATGGAACAGTCCTTCATTTTGGCCCTCTGATCCCTTCAAAATGGTTGCCTGTTAGCTGTTCCCCAGCTCTTGTATCATCATTCTACGGCCTTCTACACAATGGTCATGCTCCACTTTTAAAGAAGACAATTGCTGCAAGCTCTGCTATGCTCACAGCCATCCCTATGATTGCCCTTCCATGCTGTTCTCACTTCAGAGCCTGGCTAATCATGGCACACATTGTCAGATGGCAGTTTCAGTAGCAATGTCAAGAAAGTCTGAAAAAGTTTGCATTGCCTTTGAGAGAAAATAGCAAGAAATTTGCCTTCCCTTCTCAATTCACACTCTACAGATGTTGGATAGCTGGCAAAAGACTTGGCTGCATGAAGAAAGTAGTAAATGACAGATGAACAGGTGCATTGGAAGAATGTCAGAATTTCCCCATGGTTTCTTCACTGCTGCAGGGAAGTAGGAGCCCTGGAATCATATGAAAAGGCCCTGAATGCTTAGAATCTCCCATTGCCATTGAAGCAGTGGGTGTCACCTCAGGAATTTAGCAGGCCTTGTTTGGGAGGCTTTGCACTTATGAAAAGCATGGAGTGCTTTTTTCAGCTGTTCAGGCTGCCATCCTGTACTCATGAACTGGAGTGTAAGCCCCACTTCTTGGAGCAGGACTTGCTTCTGAAGAAACCCGCAGGACTGCACTCTAAAAGGGCAGAGCAGGTCTCAGGAAAATGTGCAGATGGCAAACAAATCTGGTGTGCCCTGGAATAAAGCCAAGGAGACTTTAGGAATACTTTAAGGGAGTCCCCAGTGGAAAAGAAAGTGGCGGGCTTAATGTATAGCAGCAGTAGGTAGCTACACAAGGATGCCTGGCATGGAAGACAAGCACTGTGCTTAGGTTTATTCATAGCCTGCCTAAAAGAGTAAGAATGCGAAAGAATCTAGGGAAAAATATTCAGAGTGTAAAAACAAATTCCTGGACTCTGATTCAACAATGGACTAATGGGCCTTCATTTAGTCCAACCCACTCATTATAAAATCATCTTAGGGTGACAATAACAGTCTTGTGTATGCCTACAATTAAGACTGGCATATACGGATCTCAGGGGGCAGAGTGGAGGTTATGTGAGACATGACCAAGCTCTGGTTGGTGTATAGCACATGGAAGAGCCTGAACTACTGCCTGCTCCTGAAAATCAGGACTGGAGTTCTCCTTGACAGGTCCCATTAAGACAAGGCACAGTAGAGGAGCTTGATGTGCTAGCCGGTGCCAAAGAGGCCAACACAGACAGACAAGAGCCCCAGAAGAGCCCCAGTAAAGGGCAAGCACTGCTCTGTGCATGGCACCTTCCCATACTGACAGGGCTCCCACTGCTTTGAGAGCTGGCGCGGATGCAGCTCGAACGGCTCCACCCACGCACATGTGGACCAGATCCTAGGCCTGGGCGAACTTCAAGGGTTGCAAAAGTACATCCTCAGGGTCTGGGGAAGGAAACCCAAACGAGCCCAGTGAGGACTGGCCATGCTCAGTAAGCACGGGAAACTCATCGATGATGGAGAAAATGGGAAATGAAGATGGGTAGATGGGAGGGAATGCTGAGCAGGGAGCATTTGACACACGTACGGATCCATAATTTAACTCATCAGCGATTTGCATGGAACTGCACTGTAATACAATCCAAAGTTTTGGTTCCAGGTATCTGTCATATTACAGACAATTACTGTAAGTCATCAAAATGTGCTTACCTCTCTCTGGATAACTTTTTCCTACAACTTGTCTTTTCTAAGAATATAAACTGGAGAGGTTAAGAAGTAAATCTTCACAAAACAATAAAAATCTTCCTTGTGGAACCAGAAAGAAGAACAAATCAATGCATTTAAGGAATGAGTGCTGTGTAAAATGACAAAGAGACGGAGGAACTAGAAACCAGATTTAACAAAACCTGGCTGTTAGTGTCTGGCTAATCTAATTAAAATCCAAGTTAAATATGAATTGATATAAAATTCTCTAAAGCAAGGAGCATGAACAGCAATTACAAACCACCCCATAATCATTAAGCCGTACTGCAGATGTCTTTTTTAATACTTAAGAAAGTAATGGCAGGAATGTAAGAATAACTGACGCTGGAAAAGCAATAAAATCCATGAACAAAACCCTTGCAATGGGAACAGCTGTTGAAGGGGCCAAATTGAAAAGGTAAGTAGGTTTTGAACTTCAAGTACAGAGAAAGAGCCCCCATTGGCATGCTGATTGCCACAAGTTTTTAAGAAAAAAATTGTATAGCACTTGTTATTCTAACTTCTGGAGCCAGATAAGTTTAGATATGGACACTTTACTAGGACAAAACAGAACTCACAAAGCAAGTCAACAGGAGAAGGTTCCTGAGAAAAGGCTAAAGTAGGAATATATAAGTATGCCTAAAAGATGATCTAGTCATGGTGAAACTACATGTTAGGTTTAGTTCCGTGACTGCTTTCCCTGAGGAAGTTTCTTTTATCATGAAAGACAATTGTGGGTGGATTCTGGTTTTGCAGAGCAGGGCAATACTAATGGGGGGCTGCCGGGAAGGCCAGCTTTTTGTTCATTCAAAATTTACATGCAGCAGGCAAGGAAAAGTTACTGTGATGCGCTTACTTTGATCCTTAGTATCAAGGAGAAGAAATTAAAAAGGTTGCTAGAGGGCTGCATTGGTGGTTTGAACCTGATAGAACTGAGTCATACCATCTAAGAGCTGAATGTATTTCAAGAGGATAACGGAAAGGGATGCACCAATCCAGAACAAAGATGAAACAAGGACACCTCCACAGAATGCATATAGAATTACTGTATACTTCCCTGATGGGCCTAAGCTAATCTTTGGAGTGGGGCTTGGGAACAGAAGAGGAATGAATGGATTTCAAACCATACCTGTTATCAGTAATATGAAGGCAGAGATATCTCTGTCTCCTGCCACTGATACCCGGAGCTATCTCACCAGACACACAGAAAGCATTAAAATTATAATCATGACTTAAATGAAAGGGCGCTTAGAGCTGAAACAGGAAAGGCAGATTAAGATAGTGAGAAAATTGTCAGATCATATTGCAGATTCTGTCGTGCCCTGGCAGAGGTTGTCACAGGAGAGACCTATAGCAGTATTTGTGGGAACTTTTAATCAAGTGGCTTCTCAATGTGAGAATGGTAGAGCAGAGGTCATTGTGGTGCTGCTATTCTCTGGAGCTCTTGCTGAGCGAAAATGTGAAAAACATGCCAACCACAAGGAGGATAATAGCTGTGGATCGACATATAAAAAAAGGAGAAATCAGCAGCCACGGGAAAACAAAAGCAGTCAGGCACCATTGAGTGTTATACTTAGAGGATAGTTCTAAGATATAATTTGGGAGGGGATGGTGTAACATTTTTGGCAATTTGCGCTAGCAGTTGCACTTATGTTGGTTGAAACTTAGAAGACAAATGAAGGAAAATGAATTAGAAAGTAAGGCCTATATCATCTGGGGAGGCATAGATTGCTAAACTGTGACATGCAGAAAAGTCAGGAAAGGCCTTGCCATTAAAGGAAAGCTACTAAAGGATGCACTGGAGAATGAAGGTGGCACAGAATATGGGAATGTGATTCCAGTTGAGAAACAGGAAAAGGAATTGAATGGATGCCTTTACAGTCTCCTTAATGCTGTTACCTACCCAAGTCACAATTTTCCCAGACGTACCAACAGGATAAATTGTACTTTTTGCAAGCTTGATGGTCAGATTCTTGGAAAAAATGAAGTATGTTTCTTATTATAAACCTGAGATGACAACAGAAGTAAAAAAAAGCATTTGTAGTAAAAGGAATGGCAGATAAGAAAACTCAAATGAGTTAAAGCTAGTGTTAAAACTAATTGGAAGAGCTTGTCGGGATGACTTCCTTTGGTGCAAGTATCAAGAAAGCGAGCAGAAGGGACCTCTGCCCTCTCCCCTTTTCCCCCCGTAAATTGTACCTGCCACACTTATCCTCAGTCAAAAATTAAACCAAAAGCACTACTTTGGCAGTGGAAAAGGTTATGACCAATAGGGTGATGTTGAGAAATCCAGTCATACTATTGATGAATGCACTGCAGAAAAAGAATTCAGAAAATACAAGAAATAAAGGGCTATTTACGCCTCACATTTGCTTCAGACAGCTGATCAAACAAAACACTTGGCAATACAAAAAATGAAAAGAATCTGATAAGTCACAGTAAATATTTGCTTTATATAAACACCAAGGCAAGACTAAGACAAATGAAGAAAGGAGGGGTGGGGACAAAGAACGCAGTGGTTCTCCTCCAACAGCTCTCAACATGTGGGAGCTCAAGATCCATTGCTTAGGCCTTGCAGGCCCCTCTTAAATTCAGTGAAACAGCCGAAAACAACTAGCTCTACACTGCATCTTTGGCTGGACTCAGTCACTCTGACTCTCCTGGGGCGATTTCTGGCCACCACCCCACGCGGAGAGCTGCACAGTCTTCTGTAAGTACTGAGCATGGGCTGAAGGCTGTTGTAAAATGAAACACTCTTTAAAATGGCTGCCGAGGGAGCTCAAAAACCACAGCACTTTAAAACTGTTGCCAAAGAAGTGCAAGAGCCAATGGCATGTTGCGTCTTGCCCACAAACTGGGCTGCACTTGGATTTTGCTGCAGTCTCAAGTGTGCTGATCTTTGAAAGATGAGGGAAGATCATTAGATGCATCTACGTTTCGGGCAACTCACTGGCTAGAAAGCCCTGCCCTCTGTAGCCTATAAATGCTAAGTTATTTGGTGGAGAGTACACACTGCTTTAGCTCACCTGGACTAGGTTAGTCTTCCAAGGGAAGCCTTCAAAGGTTCTTTGCAAAGTATGCGCGGCAAGCCATGGTCCCAACAAGAGCGGCCGTCATCTCTGTTCAGCAGGGCACCACTGTTCTGCCACAGGACAATGGCTGCAATTTTTTAGAATACTCCCTGCATAAGTCACAGGACTGTGCGAGTAAGTGGCCTGAGGACTGAAGCCAGTGAGCACCTGAGAGGGAGTGTGCAAGATGGCCAACCCAGGCATCCTTTGGGTTTACTGCCTCCTTACTCACAACCTCGTTGTCCTTCTTTACACCACAGACTCACAATCGTGTTTGCAGTTATGGGAGCCAAGGCTCATTACTCAAACTAGTTTTATGCAGGTTTTACGGCTATCCTCACAACGCTCCTGTGAGGTAGGTTTGCCTTCTGAGCTTCATTTCATGAAGGGCAAGGGCAGGTGGGAGTTGTTTTTGCAGCCCGCTCCCCACTCCCACCTGGTGAAGTGGCAGCATCCAGGAGGATCTCCCCGCTTCCTGAATCACATTCAGATTCACCAGTCCATGTGTTTGGCAGAGGCTTGTCGTAACTGAACTGTTACTGTACAAAACCAAGCATCATGCAAGGGGAGGAGCACAAAATAGTTAATCACAGAATAGCAAAACTCTCTTTGTACCAGAAAACAGGCCCAGCAGTAAATCACAAGAGCTGTGCAGACTTGGCTGCTGCGTGCCTGTTTTGCAAGGAAGGAAAAAGAGCGGCTTCTCAACCCTGGAATGTTGGATGTTTAAGGCATAGCACAATAGGAAGTGAAATAATGATCGAACATGACAGAAAGTGTTTCTACAGGCAATAATAAATATATAAGGAAGCTGACAGCGGAATGTCTCTCCTGCCCCTCTTCTCTGGAGGCGTCACAGAACTCCCTCGAACTTGGCTGTGCCAAGGAGCCCACCATGTACAGCCAGGAATAGCAGTCTATATCTCCATATCCACAGGTCTGATATTGCCAGTTTTGTGTTCTTTTACCCACAGTTCCCTGTCTTTGGCTGGATCCACTTTCTGAAGCAACTGATCCACGGGTTCTACTGTCTGTAAAAGTCCAAAAAAACAGCAGCAGTATGATTTTTAAGTCACAAGTGAATGCCTCATAAGACCTCCTAGGAAAAGTAAACCATCATCTTATCTGCTTTCCCCAGTTCTTCCAGATACATTTCCTCTTTTCTAACTCTATGGACGTAGTAACACTGCAAATGTTAACATGCTTGCAATATAGGCTTGCTTTTCCGGCCTTGAGCTATGACTAGTGCCACTTCAGTAGATGTTTTGCAGCAGGCCACTGACATTAAGTAGGATGGTATGTTCTATGGGGCCCTTTGATTTTCCAAGCCATCTCAGATGTTTGTGCCGCCGTCCATGCTAGACAGCTGAACTGTGTGGACTCAGCACGGCTCTAAGGTTTAGGTTCACGTGCTGTTGTTATGCTTCTTAAAGGAATACAGCGTAAGCACACTCACACTTTGGTTGAACATGTCTGTCTCGTGCCTCAGCTGTGTATATTGACAGAGATGCTGCCGAATCATCTCCACTCTCTCCACCTCTAGTCTTTCAAGTTCCTGAAAGGGAATAGACAAGCAGCACTGTTACTGGACAGAGATTAAGATGCTATGCCTAAAGCAACACATGAGAAGTGGGGCTGCATTGTGGGATCCAGGTAGTATTTCTTAGTATCTGGGGGCTACTGCATTGCTGAATAAACAAACAGGACCAGGAAAACTCTTGTACTTTTGTACTGCATAAGTTAAACTTGATAACTGGGAGTTTAAGGAAGGTGCTTACCTCTTTCACCCATATCAGGGCCAGTTTATAATCTGTTGGACAGTGAGAGAGATAGAATTGCCATAGGGAGAATTACTCAGCTCCCAGTGCAGCCAAATAAAGAAAAACCAATAGAGAGTGGGTAGATTTTGCAAAAGATGGACAGCAGGAGTAATACTATGACATAAGTATTATGTCTCTTTTGTTATTCCTTGTCATTGTCTGTTTTAGTATCTGTTTTTAGCTGTCTTAAACTTTTTAATATTTTTTGTAATTTTATAATATTTTACTGTATTTTATCATCTTTTTATAGGCTGTGTAAACTGCCCAGACAGCTTTGCCCACGCGGCAGTATAAAAACAGAATAACAATAAAAATAATAATAATAAAAAGCAAACAGACAAATACAATTTTACAAAAAGTGATTTTTTAAAGTAACACCTAGATAGTTTCCACTGTTGGCCCCATGTAAATTGATTTCAAGACTGTTGCTGCATTGGTTCCATATCACATAAGGAGAGCAGTATAAACATTATATCCCATAACATCCCTATATGTTCCTGTGGGCCCATGCTGCCTAGAAAAATAGCTGGACTTCAGGAAAGTTTCACACATTTCTTTAGTAAGTTTCTAAGAGATAACAGAGCAAAGCTTTGGGAAGAGCCAGGTAGATTTACTATGTAATATACATAATACATGACATTTAGTGTATTAGACTTTTATCCCACCTATGACAGATAGGTAAACTTCTAGTCCTCTTAGAAATTGTACTATTAAAGCCAGTCTCTCTCATATTCTCCAGCACATCACACTTTGCATGTGGGTTCAAATTCATTTAGCACATTGCTCACTTTTCTACCCTGCCCCCTAAGGCCCCTGCATGAGACCTCAGATCCTCCCATAAATAATTGAAGATGCCAATCCTTTTTTATCCTTTTGCCAAAAAGCATACTAGTTCCAATAAGCTTGGGCCACATGACTGAAAAAAAAAGTCAACAGGCTATTTCCTGCCAAATCACAGGAAAATACTACAGGGAAAATAAAATACTACTGGGAAAATAGTGTGCTTTTTAAGATTTCAAGGATAAATATCTTCCAGCAGAACTTGTGCTTCCTAGAAATGTTCCTTCCAAAGGTGGAACTACCTGCTCTAAGAAGCATCAGGTTGCCACCCAGAATAGCAGCTGTCAAGCTTTCATCTTTTATGACACATAATACAACTTACAACATTTTGATAAGGTTCTGTTGATCACACCGACCATGCAGCATAATGGCATATATGAGATGCGACACAGAAATAACCGGATTGTGCTTAGGGCTTTCCTGGAAAATCATCTGGAGGTCAGCTAGACGTATGTCATAGAATTATATGTCCTCCTACATGCCCTCTCAAACCGCTGACTGGCTAGGTACAGTGGTACCTCAGCTCACGAATGCCTCAGTTCATGACCAAATCGAGTTGTAAACAAAAATTTTATAAAAAGTTTGACTCAGGTTGCGAACTCCACATTGGGTGGTGACTGCGATCGCCTCATCTCCCCATCCCGAGTGGGGAGATGGCCATGGTCATGCTGGGGTGGGGTGGGGTGGGGGAGGAGCCTGTCTTTCCTGCAGGAGTGTGCCCGTGATTGCGCCCATCTTTCCTGCATGAGCACAACCACGCTCTTGGCCATCTCCCCCCTCACACCCATCTCTCTCCAGTGCACCCGCATTCGCTTCCGTCTCTTCCTCCCCCCCAGCACGACGGGGTGACGGGAGTGTGCACGGATGATGGGCATGATCATGCTGGGGGGTGGGGACATGGCCGCACTCGTGCTCAGGGTTGGTGGGGGGGGGGGGGGATAGCTGTGATCTTTGTTGTTCTTTGTCACTTTGCTTCACATTTTTCTGATTAAAAAAAAATAGTTGCAGAACAGATTAACCTTATTTACATTGAACCTTATGGGGAAATTTAACTTGACTCATGACCAATTTGGGTCACGACCAAAGTCCTGGAACGGATTAAGTTCGTGAGCCAAGGTACCACTGTATATCCTATGAATAGCCCGGCCAGTATTTGAACTACACTCGCTATACATGTTGCCAGGATATTGTTGGGGAGCGGGAAATCGAACAGTGAATCAGCATTGTACTCCTGCACACAATGCTTTTTCCATAAAGCAGTTTTTGAGTGGAAAAAACATTCCTGTCCTCGATCATCCTCCTTATTCACCAGATTTAAACTCGCTATGATTTCTACTTGTTCCTGAAAATCAAAAGTGACCTGAAGGGAACACATTTTGCATCGATGGATGAAGTGAAGACAAAAACAGCAAGCCTGTTAAACAGCCTCACGCAAGAAGACTTCCAGCACCGTTTCAATCAATGGAAAATAAGTACAGAGCGGTGTAGAGATCGGGAGGGGAAGTATATATAGAAGGTGACCATGTTCAGAATGCTATAATTCATCAATAAGTATTTTTATTACTAATCCGGTTATTTTTGTGTCACACCTCATATATTATGTAGGGAGTTTCTATTTCCAGTGGCAGCCCTATCACTTTATAGAATGTACTTTTATTCTCCAAGAAGCAGAAGAGATTTGTAAAGCAACAGATTGAGGATGTAACCCTGAGACCATGGACAATGAGGATGGAGAGCCTTGGGACAAGATTCAAGTATGTCAGGGCTGGAAGAATAAGGAGACTGGCTTTTTTTTTTTTTGCTATAGCCCAGATACTGGCAGCTATAAAGGCACAGCTTATGGTTCTAAGCTATATTGCATTACAATTCTCCATCAAATAGCTAGGAATGCTAACTAGGAGAACACGGGTTAGCAACTGGTGGCCACCCAGGAGTTGTTAGACTGCCGCTCCCCAGCCCTATTGTGAGAGATGAGGAAAGCTATAGCACTGGCCCTTCCCTCACTGTATTCTTCATGAACGGTTTAAACATTTACTAACTTTCAAACTAAAGCTGATAAAGGGCCACTCTTTGTTCAACTCAGGGGAAAAACATTGCTTTGCAAATAGTACATGGAGAGATCCAAGATGGCATACCAGAGAGGTGGTCACCATTTCCTCAAACCATTTTGACTGAGCCTGATTATACAGATCCACACAGCGCATGAGATCATCTCCTGCAACACACCAAAAAGGAAGCAAAGTGAATAATTACTTGAAGATCCTTCAAAAGGGATACCGAGAAGCGAAAGTGCAGTGACCTGCAAGTTTCTACAGGCACCGTGTCTCGATGCAAAAAATCCACAGAGATTTCTTAGTGTAACTAATCCAAACTCAGTAAGAAAGAAGCAACTGGTAACCTTTCCACTTTTATCAGCAGTGACACAGAGATGTCAAGAAACAAATACTGCAAAAGTGTCTTGGATATCTCTTCTGCCATCTAGTGTACAAATCAAACAATATGTATTTTATGAAATACAAACACATGGAATTACAAAACGGAAAAGCCAACTCCACTTTACTCTCTCCTTGTCACATATCTAAAATGAATACATGGAAACAGAAAGGAAATGGCCCAAGGGTATCCATAATATCCCAGAAAGTCATATTGCTGAATTGCCTGATGATCTTCAAAGAGTGTTGTCAATTTTACATGTTAGACACATGCCAGGCCCTTTCTACTTTCTGGAGATCTATATTGCTAGCCATGCTACCTTAATTTATCTACATGTGTCTTAAAGATGAGAGTATGAAAAAATAACATTAATTCTTTATGGCAAAAAAGAAGCCAATTCCAGGAACCAACCCATAGTAGCTGAACACTGGAACGATTATGGTAGATATTCGCCATCTAATTAGAATATTAAGTATCAGGTAAAATGCAAATCCTAATAAATGCCTAATGTTAAGATTCATTGAATTAACAAATCAATATTGATACTTTTCTACAAAATGGCTCTTCCATTCCATCCACATTTCTTTTTACACCATCATTCCCTGTCATTCTACCACATTAATCCCCAGATACTCACCAGCTTGAGTAGACTTCCGCCTGGCTTTCTTAATTTCCTCTTCTGTCTTGTTGCTGAGTTTTATTTCCAACTGCTGTGTTTTCATCTCTAAATCCTTTTGCCTCTCTGATAATGCTTTCCGGGCCTTGAAACAAACCAATTACCGTTAATTCCTCCATGGAAAGGGAATACCGATTTGCCACTTTCTTTCCCTAAAATGGATTTGCTCACAGGATAAATCCCAGCAGTACGGAACATACGCCCTGATCAGGGTCTCACTCCAGCTGCATGAACTGTGAGGCACAAGTTCTTCCTTGTTTCATAGTTCTAGCACTACAGAGGAGAGGAGAGGTGCTCTTCAGACAGCATCGTTACTAAATAATTAGGAATGCTAGACCAAATTACTCTCTATGTCTGAAAGAATGTTGCAGAGGTCTACACCACCCTAATCTCAGAAGTCAGCCATTTGGGTTTTATGTAGGGTGCACTAAAATGTTGCTGAATGGACCAGCTGTTTTGTTTCTTCAACATTCATCTGGAAGAAAGGGGAGTGGCTTACTGTATCTTTCTGAAGGCACACCACAAGCTAACCCTAACCCTCAACTGGATTCCACTTGGAAAGGCTTACCTTTTCTACAGCAGCATACCGACTAACCAGCTGTTTTCTCAAATCAGCAATGTGATGGTCATACTTCTTCATGTCTTTCTTGAAGTTTTCTCTGAAGTTCAGTAGGGGCTTCTCCACCTCAGCCTGGAGCTGAAATAAAGAACAAAAGAAACTTTTTGAAGGAATATTTTACTGGACCACTATAATAGTCCTATCAGACTCTATAAATGCTTTGCAATCATGACAATAAAAACAAATAACAAAAAGTTAAAACAATACACATATAACATTATATACATGACAAATATAACAGCTGCATTGTTTATAATTATTTATATAATTATATAATTATAATCTCAATGCAGATTGCGATACATCTGTTTGGGCTCTAATTCTTCAAAGTGTTATGCAAGAGATCCATGAATTTCCCTCCTTTTCTTGCTTTAAAGTAGTTGAGGGGGATATCTCTGATTTGGATTGGAGTAGTATGGGATAGGGGGACTAGGACATATTTTGACTCCTCCCAAATGCCATTTTTTTGACTGAAATCTCCTCCTGAAAGTTAAGTCCTTACTTCCCTCCAGTAGGACTAGCAGCATTGTATGTGTATGCATGAGAAGCTGGGGGTGAATTTCAATCCAGAAAACAGTGAAGGTATGATATTGAGTACCTTCTTCCCAGCAACAGTTTTCCAATCAAAATTATAGTTCTTATCACAACCTCATCTATTTAAAACAAAGAAAAAAGTTTTGGAATTTGTCTATGAATTACCCTGTCAGGTGTGTTTTGGACTGCAGGTGGAATCATATAAGTGCCAGAAAACTGCCCCTTGCAAAGCAGGTAGGAAGAAAAGAGCAGATGATTCAGAGCAGTTGTCCCCAACTGAATGAGTCATACCAATGAGGAAGAGAGAACAGACTTTGACACAAGGAAATAACAGTCTGAGAACTATCATCCTGACTCCTCTTTGGTACAGACTGCTCTTAGAACTTCAACATTTCAAATAGGAAGTTTTTGCCCCACTGGATCCATAGTCAAACACAGGTAGGGTACATGTTCATTTAAGGCTTAGTAAAACGCATGGAACAGTTGCAACCAAGCAAAATTCTGTCTGCTTCCTGCTCTCATAATTATTTTTTCACAGGCTGTGTACAAATATTCAGCTGCCGCACTGAATTAACAGTCTTATGACTGGTGAGGGATCCTTCCAGTTGTCACTAATAAAAGACGGCACTTGAATTAGTGGTTTTCTTTCAAAAGAGTGCTGTGATAGCATGGAGGTAAGCAATTCGTGAAGATTTGAGCAGAATAGAAATTGAAATCCTTCCTCAGCATGTACATTATGCAGTTATCAAGGGCTCATGCACTAAATATCAGCCATGCACTAAATACCAGACTATTTGAGGTTGCATATTTATGTGCTATCCAAAGAAAACCAAGACATTACATGACACAATGGCACTGATCAGATGAAGAAAGAAAATGGTTTCTTGAAGTACTTTTTCCTACCAGAAAGTACACAGCCATTAAGGGACAATTCTACAATGTGTTATATATTTCTCTGCTTATCTCCATGCTATTAGTCTTGCAATAAGAATGTTGATAACAGTGGTCTGGTAAATAATAAGCACTTTCAAATGTAATTATTTCAATGGGAGAGTTAACTACATGGTTGAATCTATCCCACCGCAACTAATGGGATCTGAAAATGATTAACTTTGCCTGGAACATGCCTAAAGTTTGCTAATGGTGTGCTGTTAGGAACAGAGGAAGTTTCTAATACACCTCAGTGATAAAGCATCTGCTTTCTGTACATAAGGCTGCAGCAAATTCTGGCATTTCCAAATTAAGAAAAAGGTTAAGCACCAGAAAGCCCTCTGACCAAGAATGCTGCTAATCAGTATAATTACTTTTTATAGAAAAACATGTGCCATATATCCCAGTTTTCAGCGAAACGGCCAGCCAGTCTCAGTCCCACAAAAAAGGTTCATTTTGAATGTGGCAACTACCTTGGAGGAAAACTTGAGATGAACCTCCGCCTCATCAGCCAGGCTCTTTTTCAGCTGAGACCAAGACTCTCCAAGTGTCCTGAAACACACAATACAACATATCTGAAAGGCAGGAAAGTTTACTTCTTCATTAGCATCTGATTCTCATTATTCCAAGAGCACATGTACGTCTATGAGTGGCAGCATTCCATATGCAGCATATAATGAGACTGAGCACTCCTCAGAGGGCAGAACCAAAGCACAATGTTTAACATTGCCTTATGTAATTTCTCTCTCCAGGCTCATATTCATATTCACATTGAGGAAAAGAGACAATCGTGGGTAGCTCTGGAGAAATACCATCTTTTCTCCCCACCCAACCGCACCTGCCTCCGGCAGCCTGGAATTAATAAATTACTCTTGCAATCCCTTAGTGCTGCTTCGGCTTATAATTACCATTCATTTGAGATAAACCACTGACTGTTTTACTCATGCTCTTAGTTGTAGCTGTAATCACTCTAAAAAGGAGACAAATGATTTCTGAAACCAATTATTTGTGTGGAGAAAATGATACTTTGGAAATACTAAAATGGGCATCTAACCGTGAAGTGCAGTATAATATGTGAAGTAACCATAAAATGGTAATTAGTTCCAGAGATGTTCTCCATCAGGCTCCCATTACCTTTAGGGTTGAACACCTTTTCTAGAAAGAGCAGCTTAATAATTTTAGCTAAAGCTGAAGCCTTGGGTTCAGGTGTTTGTTTAGTTTGTAAAACCACATACAAAAGAAGAAAGTGTGAAAAGAATTGAAAAGAATCCACAACAGCAGATAATTTGCTCAGATGACAGAAAAGAAACAAGACTATTAAAGATAATTAAAAGGTTTTGTGACCTTTGATCAGATCCTCTAAGCAAAAGTGTCCCTGATCTTGTGAGAGTTTGTGTAGCCTAGTGCAACAGTTCATATTGTAAGGTTGAACTAGGAAGTCCATGGGTTCCAAATTGGCTTTTGTTATGAGCAGGCTGTGGACATACCGGGCCACTTTCTACCAACCTGGCCCATCACCTATAAATCACCACCAACACCTATGTTCCAGGTTTGCTAGCAAGGTTACCAAGACACTGCGCCTGTAGTGCTTATTATATAAATGTGAGGTATGCTGACAACTATACCTAGCAACAAAGCTTCAGCTGTAGAGAGCAGGATGCTATCATGTACTTCTTCCATGGAGACAGAAACCATAAAGCAAGCTCTCCATAGGCACTTATCATGACTCTCTCTCAGAGACATCTTTATTACAACACTTCGACTGAGGCATGGTCTGAGGGTACATAATGTAGCCATGCTGCTAAAGTTGATGCCTGAGTCTAGTCAGTATCCAAACAGAAGACCACTTGGGAGCTCCATATGCATAGCCTTACACTCCATTATGCAAGAAAGGCAGGCTATAAATTTCAAAAACTATCTCTCTTTCCACATAATTGTCTCCTAAATTCACAAAACAAAACTTTGGAATGTGAAATCTAAGTAACCTCAAAAGCAAATATGCAGTATCAGAAAGCCAACTTGGCCTTCAACTCAAATCTTCCTGTCTCAATCTGCCTAGACAGACTTCAAGGCATTGGTATTTATTGATTTATGGTATTTTCAATCCATCCCATAACAAATGTTTTCTGGGCAGCACATTTGTACAAGACACTAACTCAGCATTATTCTACCTACATCTCCCTTGCAATTGGGAATTGAGCACATCCAAGCGGAAGTCAAATACACTTCACCAAGTTATTTGCTCTATACAGGCATAGCCATTTAAAACTCTTCTTGCCCTCCAGAGTGGAAAATGATGAATAAACAATGAATTCCTGCTATTAAGATACTCTTCTCTAGGAGATAAACAAATTAAAAGGATAAAAGAAATCTGCAAATGCCTTATCACGAAATTTGATAATAAGAATCTTCCATATCCATGATAATAACAACCAAGCCCCATAGCTTAAATATTATGGCCGGAATCCATTTGGCTGTTAATGGAACAGGCAAGTTCCATTGTGTCTGCTCATGCTACATTGGATTTAATTCTAACAAATTTCTCATGGATTTTGTGGACTAGAGCCCATTTCATCTTAAGCATGGAGAATAACTGATTATTCTCAATTCAATTCATAAAAATAAGCTTCAGATTATATTTGTGTTGGAAAAGCATGTAGAAGGAAGGCAAGTTGAGTGGCAGGTTGCTGTCTCTGTCACAACTGGTAGTATCCAGCCAGCGGTCTCACCTCCTTTAAAGGAAGTGAGGCTGCGGCTGGTCCCTCTGCTGGATGCCAACTCTCCAGGCCCTGAAGGGAGCTTGGGGGTGGCCTGCAGCGGGCCCAAGTTTCTGGCATGAGAGGAGCACAGGGGAAACCAACAGCAGCTGTGAAAACTGCTGCCTGGACACACTGCTGGCTGCCATCGGCTACTGCCCCTTGGCAGAGTGGCAGCCTTTTCTAAAAGCTCTGGCCAAGGGGCTCTCTAGCATTTTGGCTGGATCATGACTTAGCATGTTGTCCAGGTTCAGACAACATTCTAAGCCAACATTTGGCTTTTCCAAATCTCACCACAAGCCCTGGCTAGTGGGGATGGTCTATAAGACACCCTAGGGAGGCAGCGGAGAGGGAGTTTGGCCAACTTATTAAGTCACTCTCAATGGCTTAGCATGCCATGCCAACTCCATAGCTCGCAATCATTTCAGAAAACAACTGAGCAGGAATGCAGCTCCATCACAGCATCTCTGTATTGTGGTGACTCCCCTTTGAGCGGTACAGGTTGTACCAGCTCCTGCTTTTTGTTGAACTCTGGAAGCGCCAAAGTGCTGCTCTGCACAGGGGACACAAATACCCATCAGTTGTTAGTCTTGTGGCCACTTATCTCTTTCCTCATTTGGAATCACTTATCTCTTTCCTCATTTGATTTGGCTCCTACAGCATTTTGCACTCTCTTTGTCTTCCTCTGAATCATTCTCCCTTGCATTTTGGTGCACAGTACTCCAAATAATGGCTTTGCCATGGGTGAGAACAATAATACTTATTATTACATTTATATCCCATCTATTTTTCCTCTTGCAAGGAGCCTAAGGCAGCTTACATGCCCCCCTTGTCTCCATTTAATCCTCACAACAACCTTGTAATGTAGGTTAGGCTGAGAGTCAGTAACCAGCCCAAAGTTATCCAATAAGCTTCATGGCTGAGTGGAGACTAGAATCCAGATCTTACTCCACTACATTTTCTTTCTGAGTCTAGAAAGAAATATTTATTCATTACACCTGAAATGATGCTAGCCTTTTGTGCTGTAGTGTTTTATTGTTTAATTGCATTCAGTCTACCAATTAATAATGCCTACATTTTCTTGGTGGTTCTGCTTTATCAGAAGATATCTCCTAGAAACTACAGCTTCTTCAAGCTTCTTGTTTCTTTCTTATGATGTTTAGATTATGTTTAACTAGTATGCAATAGTAACCAATGAATGATAATCATCTTCACTGACATGGGGAGAGGGGCACAGATCTTTAGTTTTGACAGAACCCCTATCAACACAGTCAGATTAACCACAAGGTCGCAGGGTATGTAGCCCTCAGCCCAGCCTTTCTGTAGCCCAACCCATCTTGCAAATAAAAAGTCCTAGAGTCCCATCTTGCAAATTAAAAAAGGACAGATTTCTAGCCCTTGCAGAACCTGAGATATAAAGCTAAAATCCTCAGGCATATTCCAGTTGTTTCGTGTAAAATGTAAAATTGTGTGTGTGCGTGTGTGGGGGCAGTGGCTGAGCATGGCAATAGGAGCACTGCAAAGTAGTCCATCCCTGTTACATCCATCTTTCTTGGGGGGACAGGAGTACTTGACAGTGCTGCAGCATAGTCCAAATCTGTTATCTATTCAGCTTGTGTAATGTAGAGAAATGCAGTAGGCAGAGGGGAGGGAAGTGAAGAATAGCCTTCATTAAACACTTGCTACAATTCCCACACCCACCCACAGAGTATAAACTCTCCCTAATACTCCTTGCTCCTGATGAAGTGGGCTGTATTCCACGAAGGTTTCTGCCACACAATCTGAATAGATGCCGCACAAGATTTCATTGATTTTGCTGATCATAAAGTTTCTTTGAGGTAGAGGACAAAGGCTTATGGATGGAGCCTTTGAAATGCAGGAAGAAGCTTTTCAAATCTGGAATGTACGATGTGAGTTAGAAGAGCTGGTGTCAGTGTTCAGGTCCCCCCCTCTATAAGGTAAACTTTCAAGCAGGCTACTGGATGCATCTTGTCTCGACAATACATGGATGTAAACACCATAATTCGCAGGTGGTCATTTTACACATTAGGGATACTTATTACCAATGCAAACTGGAACAATTATGTCTTCTAATATCCATTTAATTAACTGATATCATAGTTACGTTTTGCCTTCCCTCCAGGAACTAAAGATTCCCCTCTCCACATTTTTACCTCAGAACAATCCTGTGAGGCAGTAACTAGCTAGATCAACCACTGCAAAATGGGAGGCATTTGCAGATTCTCCTATGGCAGCAAAACAGTGGCACAGGCTCCTGAACCACTTGAGTCCATCTAGGTCTCTTTCTGGAGTGTGTGTGTGGATACACAGAAATTCTGTGTGTAATTTTGGGGGAAGAAGAGTTTTGGGGCCACACTACAGATGGCTAATCTTGGGGACTACTATAACTTTAATCTGGCCCTGTCTGTCAAACCTCGTTCCCAGGGTGAAAGCAGAAAATGCCTCAGAAACAAAGATTTCCAGAATGTCCTCATTTTGTGCTAGAAATAGTAACTACTAGGTTAGAAATGTCATCTTGCTCTACTTTTGGAATGGGCAGTGCTTCTCCCTGGGCAATTTGCTTCAGGGAGGTGGGTGCTCTGTGCTGAATTTTTTAATCAATTACTTTTTGACTCTGTTGTGGGGAGGAGAAGAAAGGAATTGCACCTGCAAATTGTGGGAAGGGGTGAGAATTTTGGAAAGTTGCTCAGGGTGCAGGGCTCCAGTGCTTAATCTTAGGGTTTCTGTGCATATTCTTTCCCCATGGTTATCGTTCTTCAGCTGCTGCCGTTTAAAGAAGTTTGCCAGGTCCTCTTCCTTACAGCATTCCCTAAGCTGAGTGTGGGCGTTGTTACTCTTGTTGTTGTTGACAGGACTTTTAATAACAACAAAACAAAGCCAAAAATACCTCACTTGTCCTTCAGGCCTTGAGCAGGCAAGTGCTGGAAAGTCACGAGGGAGGAAGTCTGTAGGGTACTTTACAGAAAGTTCCAGCAGTAGGAGGGGCTACAAGGATAGCATGGGGAGGAAATTGGGGGAAAATAGTGCACATGCCCCTTAGCCACCTCTTAAAGCAAGCAGAGAAGCCCTGTAACCTGAGAAATGTCTCCAAAATTTTCAAAATCACAACAAAAGGGACAGAAAAACAACTGACTTTCACAAGGAAAAGAAGAAGCTGCAAAAGGGCATGTAAGGTTTTGGCAAACTCCTATTATCCAGACTAAGTGTATTGCATAAGGTTCTTCTTCAGATCTGGTAGCCCTTCTTTCAGCACAAAATGTGTCTGAGTGGCCTTTTGGGACATTGCAGAGGCCTCTCGGGCATCTTTGTATGTTTTGCTGAGAGGATTGCTGGTAGTGTTATTATAGATAATGGCTGGGCAGCAAATACTCCCAATTTTCCTACTTACTTAATCGATTTATTAGCCGCTATTCAAAACTATCGTCTTTCCAATATGGCTTACAGCATAAAAAATTACCATTCAACAAATATCCATAAGATCACATGTGTTATAAACAAGTTACAATAAAATTCACTGATAAAATAACCATCTGCAAGAAACTTTCTATTAAATTTCTATCAATATTTTCTATCAAAACTTTCTATCAATAAAAGTTTCTTTTAAAGGCAAAGGAGAAAAGATGAGCTTTTAACAGCAGCCACAGATAGGGCCAGGGTACAGATCATGACTGAGAAAGTTGTATCTCAACACCCATCAACTTTGCCACTCTAGCTCAGTGACAAAGCACCTGTTTTGAATGCAGAAAGTCAAGGTTCAATCCCTGCCAGCTCCAAGCAGGGCTGAAAATATCCTGTCACTGGGACCATGGTTGGTGGTTGCCAGTTCTTGCTGACTGGTCTTGATGGATCAATTTGTTGTTTTGTGCTGTCAGGTCATCACCAACTTATGCTGACCCTGTAGAACAAAAGCCCTTCAAAATATCCTATCCAGAACAGCCCTGCTCAGCTCTTGCAAATTCCAGGCTGTGGTTTTCTGTATGCCACCTCTTATTTGGCCTTCCTTCTCTTCTGCCTGCAACTTTCCCTAGCAGGATTGTCTTCTCCAGGGCGTTTTGCCTTCTCATAATATGTGCAAACAATGACAGCCTCAGTACTGTCATTTTTGCTTCTCGGGAAAGCTTTGGCTTGATTTGATCTAGGACCCACTTGTTTGTCTTTCTCTTGGTCCAGGCTATTTGCAAAGCTCTCCTCCATCACCATGCTTCAAATGCATTCCTTTTCTTCCTGTCAGCTTCATTCACTGTCCAGGTTTCACACCCTTGCATAGGTGGATAGATGAAAAGCCTGACTCAATATAAGGCAGCTGCCTATGTTCCTATGAAGTGGTGCGCCAATAAACGAGACCTCCAAGCTGATCTTAAAACACCCAATCAGGGAGCTCCACTGCCTGGACTGCATTTAATGTGCAATGTGCCCTCTTTAACCTTTGCAAGTGGAAGGAAATGGTTATCTTACAGACCTGTAACTTCTCAGAAACATATTTTCTGGAAACTTCAAATCACTGAACAGCCCTGCACAGAAAACTAATCCTATATTCATTCATATGCTAGTCTCCAAACAAAGTAACCAAGCAGTGAAGAAGTAACCACATCTAATCAAAAATGCAAGTTTCATAGCAGGATGGGATTTCACTGGTGGTCAAAATGCAAGAATACAGACTCACCCTTCTTCCTGGGCAGCCAGGGAGTTTTGTGATAGTTTGGACAAATTCTTGGCATATTCTTCTTCAATTTTTATCCTGCAGAAAACAATGACACCAGACAATCTATCAACTGTATCTCATGACAGAATAAGGTAGTGCAGGGTTCCCAAACCCTTTTGGACCTGTCATGTAAGTTTGGGAAACTGCTGTACACACCACCACAAAATATATCAGTGGATCACTACTTTGGTGTTTACCTGTTGCATCTGTGAATCTTAGGGTGTGTCTTAGCAATGATGTTTGTTTCAGGTCTATGCAATGCAAGGCAATGTCTCTTAAATAGGGGATTGTCTAATTCACCTAACTGCAGATGATGCACTACAGCAAGTGCATCTTCTAAGTGTATGTTTTGGTAACGTCCAGGAGTTGCCTCTTCTTGTCAGGTTATTACACAAATACATTTTGTACTGGAATAGGTTAATATTTGTTGATGCCCATACTTTTAAATTTTTTACCTGCTTCATGGAGATGATCAGATAGTCAGTATAAATTAATTCTCTTCACCTTTTTGACAGCAACAAGGCTGCTATTACAAAATTGGAAGGATGGACACTCACCTTCTATAATGTAATAGACTGAGTACCTTGCAGGGCCTTCGATATTTCTATGGGCGTCATAGAAAGATCAACTCGGAATGGATAGATATCTGGTCAATTTTGTGGAAGCCTTTCTAGCAATTTTGTATTTGCTAGAAAGTAGTAAGAATTTCATACAAATCCATGTATGCATACTAAAATCAGGACTTTTTAAAAAACTGGTGTCTGCAGCCTCCATGTTAGGGAACCTTCAGCAAGTATCACTGTAGGCACCTGGGAATGCTGTACTGGAGAATCCCGGAGCAACTCTCAAAAATCATTTGTTAACGAAGTTGGTTTTACATGTTGCATAATTTTCCTGTTGTATCATTTTAAGATTAGATAGATCGAGCAGACTGGTGATTGTTTAAATTCTCACCAAGGGTATGGTAGGTTAGTACTTGGGTTTGCAACCTACTTATCTGGAAATCAGAGATAGTCTTGTACCAGATAAAGTAATACTGTCTCCATGATGGGTAGAACTAAGTAGACTGTGTGACTTGCACTGTTCTCTCTAGGACACAACAGCCGTTATGATAGCATCTGCTAGTAGATGTGCACCTTTCTCTGCCACTCCCCTTTCTCTCCTGCAAGAGATTCCAGAGCTATATGTAGCCTCACCAGTTTAAGTGCAGCTAAGCCAGCAAAGAGCCCAGGAGCTGACTGAGCCAATGGTACAATTCCACTTGTTTTGACAATTGACTGGGTTTCAACCCAGTCACAGGAAGATTGGGAACAGTGTGTTTCTTCAAAACATAGGATGTTTATGGCTTTCCTAGTTAGGAAAGGATCAAGTCCACGGAAACATGAATGTGGGGGAGGGGGGAAACTGAGAGTTTACAGAAATTAGGCACATTTACACGGTTAAATTTAAATTGAGATGTTTATATCATGATGGTATAATGGTGCAAAACTTAGGGGTTTCGTTCTGGTTCATGTAGCACAGATGGTTGAAGTAACAACCAAGGGTGGATAGCAAAAAGCCTGCATGTTAATGCTTAATGCTTAATGCTCCTTCCTCTCCATTGTTGAAATTTATGGTGGCCAAAAAAGTATCCATTTACTGAAAGAGAATGGTAACTAGGTCTGTTTCAAGCTAAATTTTCAAGCTGTTTACCTCTCCATGGGAGTTACAGAGCAATAACATGGTAAAATTCAGCTTGAGAACAAGTTAATTTTGATCTACTTACCTCTCAGTAGTGGCTTGTTGCTATATTTTGGGAACAAACCACCAGCTCTTTTGCCTACCACCTTGAAAAAATCCATGGGGTGGCAGCAGCAATGTAGCCCTTAGCATCCCAAAATTGCCCACCCATGTCTTTAGATTCATAATAGAGGATGCTTATAAGGACAGCCTTATTCTACATACACTTGCCAAATCCCCTGTACAGCCATCTCAGTTGGTGTCCATCAATACACCTTGTGGTAGAGAATTTGACAGTTTAACCATGTGAAGAAGTCTTGAACCTCGTCTGTCCTGAATCTCCCATGAATCAAAATTGCACATAGCATTCCAAAAGTACCATAGCTTTGTATAAGGGCAGCATGCTTTATTACTGCTTTATTTTTGATGCCTTTCCAACTATGCCTAACATAACTTATAAGGTTTTTTTAATAGTAGCCACAAACTGGGTCGGCATTTTCAAAAACAAGTTGTCTGCCATATACCCAAGATATCTTGCACCTGAGCATCTAACATTTTCCAAGCAAGTACCTAATGCTATATTCTTTTGGGTCCCACAGACTCTACCAAATCCCTTTTAATGTTCCTGTCCCAAGAGAGGGAACTGCAAAGAACACAATGCTGTCATATATTACATTCCTCTTGTAAAGTGCCAAAATTGAGGTGTCCTGTACAGTGGTCTTTTCAAGCAGTGAGTGGATCCTGCTTCCTCACATTCCATAGTGTACATCAGATAAAGGTGTGAGGGAAAAGGTTTATTTCAAATGATAGAAACGCAACATAGTTGTGTAACGTATACTGTTATTTTAATCAGTTCTTTGTTCTTTCAACATACTCCCATCCTTTCAAAAAACAAGCAAATTTATAAAGTGGTCTATAATCATGATAAAATATCATGAAAATAAAATAGACATAAAATAAATCTGGAAAAGGACTATAAAACACACACCAAAATGTAATATTGTGAAGGAGGCCCAAATGTTTATCACAGATATCCAACATTCTTTGCTAAAAATGTAAGGTATGGAACTTTTTATGCAAGGTAAAAAAAATAGGTTGGGCAATGGCAATTTTGTGAACATTAAATTCTGCAGATTTTTGGTGCCCCTTATTTTATAAAAGGGATGCTGACTGGTCCCTACACTTAAGAGTTTCCATTAGGTAAAGATTGTGTTTTCCTATTAATCCAACATAGCATAATTATAATGGGTGAAATGGAGCTGGACTTCCTATGATCAGGCAGACAAAGTCCATTCTTGGAACAGAGTGTTCCAGTCCCTCGTTGCAAGTTCAAGAGAAGTAAATCTCTCTCCTATTATGATTATTTGAAGAGCTATTTATAAGAGTGCTCTTTTTCTTCTAAGAGTAGTTATAAATAATGAGCAGCTATAAATAATAAGTGTTTATCTTTTTCTCTTGTCTTCTCCTTTCATGTCCCAGAGATATTTTATGTTATTTAAACCATGTTCCAGCAAGGCTGTAGTCACAGGGGTGGGAGAAACGGATGGGGGAAATAGCAAGAGATGTTTCAGATGTGCCAAAGTCACTGAGGAGCATCGCCCATTGCAAGTCATAAGAAGTCACAAAGATTTGTGTTCCCAGCTCTCTACTGTGAAGATTAAAATTGCCCATTAGTAAATATAGGCTATTCTCAGATTATGCATCTTTTAAAAAATAGGTTGTGATTTTAGTTTTTAAATCTCACTATGCAGACTAGCAATTGCTAGAGAAACAGGGATGGACACATATATGTTGAAAGTAAAAAGGCTACAGAGGAAGGAAGGGAGGCAATTGTTGCTCATTCACCTTTCCCACTAAAGACCCTTTCAGCCCCTGAAAAAGTCTACTCCAACGGGTTGGAAGACATTCTAGAACAGCGTGTGAGGTGGCATGACCACAGCGGGAATCGGTGAAAATTGCTTTGTCTCTCCATTCAGTCACTGGGAGCTCCCCCCCGCCCCCGCCCCCAGTGAATCAAAGTCTTTTCTGTGTGCAGAAGGGCAGCTCTGGATTCAAGCCCTAAGTTACAAGTCTGCCTCCATACACATAACAGGAGGAAGGCTTTCCACTATCTGCACCCAACCAGTAACAATTTGAGAAGGGGAAGGGTTGTGGGACAGAAAGGCCCCTTCCATGAACTTTGAATGCTGTTCCTTTCACATAGGAGAAGATAGGCTCCCAGCCATGGATCCATAGTTCTGGAAGAATTGAATAGCACATCAACAGAATATTTTAACATCATCTTACAGTATTATGCATAAATGTGCCCAAATGTGTACACTTGACTTTGAATCTGGTATGAGAAGTTTGGTTGAATTCAATATTGCTGATAAGTTAGCACAAACTTATTGGTAAGTGTTGGGCCCCTGTGCATGTCTGAAAGCGTGAGAAAGAAGGCAGAGAGCCCTATAGGCCTGGCAGATTTCCTCCGTGAACCAGTGCGAACTGTCATTTGACAGTGTAGTTCAGAGTCATAAAGTCCAGAAAGGCAGGTTGCTTACCTGTAACTGATGTTCTTCGAGTGGCCATCTGTGCAGTCACACATATGGGTGCTGTGCCTGCGCAGTGCCTAGGCCGGAAGATTAAAAAGCTAACGGTTTTTGGCGGGAAAACTCTGCTCCCCTCCCCCTTCGTAGAGTGGAGTGTCCGCCATTTTGTTCAGTCTTGAAGACCGAACGTTCGCCCTCTACAGGTTAAGAATAAAATTAGTTGCAAACGGCACTGAGCCCCAACGGTACCGATGCAAAGTATAGTATGGTACCGAGAACAATATCCACTCACCGGCATATACCATCGGTACCGATGCAAATTACAGTGTGGTAGAAGAAAAAGAGAGGGATGAAGGCAAAAGGAACAGTAAGGACTCAAGATCTTAGCGAGGATGTTAACAGGCACGAGGCACAGTGAACGGCGGGCGCAAAGACTGAACAAAATGGCGGACACTCCACTCTATTTATACCACGAAGGGGGAGGGGAGCAAAGTTTTCCTGCCAAAAACAGTTAGCTTTTTAATCTTCCGGCCTAGGCACTGCGCAGGCGCAGCACCCATATGTGTGATGCACAGAGGCCACAACGAAGAATCACATATATTTATGTTAAAAGTTGAGACCCCCAGAAACCCAAGTACAAAGCTAGCTATAATTTACTGAATTTTGCCCAGAATGACATTAACAAGGGTTTGCAGCTTGTTTACCATTGTTCAGCTGCATTTAATCACTACATTTTCATGTTCACTATAAAGGTTAGATTGTTTATTATGAGAAAGTGAGGAAAAGCAGGACTATAAATCTGTAGGAACATAAAACAAAGCAAGCCAAAGACCACCTATATATTATGCTAACCAAAACTGTAATACTAGTGAGCTTGACTAATGAACTAAAGGAAGCAGCAGTTGGCTAACAATTTATTGAGATAAAAGGAATCAACCTCCTCAGGACTGAACATCTTAGTTACCTTTCTCGAATAAACTCTGCCATTTCTTTCTGCATTTGCTTTCCTTTCAGTTGTTTTTGCAGAAGAATTTCAAATCCCGAGACGGTGCTGTTTCCTTGTGGATCCTTCTTATCAGCCTAAAGAAAATGGACAGTTAGGCATATGCCACAGAAGCAGCAGCACAACTTGGGTAGTGCCTTCCAGATGTTTGGACAACGACTCCTATAATCCCCAGGCACGGTCTTTGCTAGACAGGGCAAATGAGAGTTGTAGTCAGAAGCTTCCGGAAGAAACCAGGTTCACCTATTGCTATGTTAGAAGTTGCACCAAAAGACTCAAGCACCAACAGGCAAAAGCAAAATATGCCACTGTGCGGAGAGATACCCCAAACACACTCTGGATCACAAATACATGCATACTTGGCCTTATTTATTTGCCAACTTCATCCTTATCTGGACAGAGACAGATGAGTTAACCTTATTTGTGAAGCAGAAACTTCTTGTCTAGTTTATTGCAATGTGTATACATGGGGCTGCCTTAGAAATCAATTCAGAAATGTCAGTTTGTCCAAAATAGGGCAGCAATGCTGTCAGTGGGGCAGGCCAACATGACCATATTATGGCAGTGCTTTGTGACTGGCCTCGGCTTCTAGCCCATGTTCAAGCCCTACCTGAAGTACAGGTTAATTTCTAAACCCACAAACAGCTGAAAGATTGTTTCCTCCCATGTATACCTGCCAGGACCCTACAGTCATCTTCAGAGGCCCTCCTTCTCTGGGTGCCCCCACCAAAAGAGATAAGGTGGGTGGCTACCAAGAAGAGGTCTTGTTAGTGCTGGCCCCACAGTTGCAGAATGCCTTCATCACCAGGTGTCTTCTAGTGTGGTGTTTGGGTTACCAAGTGAAGATATTATTTAAGCCAAGCATTTTAGTTCTTTAGGTTTTGTTGTTTCGAAATAAATGCCATTGTATTTTTAAATCTTTACACTCCTGCCACAGTTTTACTTTGGCTTCATACAGTAGCACACATATGAGTGTGTGTTATTGCACTGTGTTACTGTGTTTTAGGGTTTAATTGCTGAGAACACCCAGAGAGAGGATCTGCCAGAATTCCCAGAAAAATAGCAGACCATTGCCACTAGAGGCTGCTCTGGCATATAGCTAAGAAGCTGCAGATTCACAAGAATTGGCAGTGCTAATATAAAGGGGGAAGCAGGGCAAGCTTCTGGTATGAAAGGGCTGGAGTCACCGCCACCCACTGAGTTTTAAACTGGGCCCCAAGAGTAACCCTGCATAATTTACCTCCCGGCACACGAGGACTTCCATGCCCATACAGTCCTTGCTCCCTGACTAGTCACCTCTCCCTCCCTTAGCCCAGCCCTTCTTCTCTGCTTTCCCCACCACTGTCTTGTTTTTCCACTGTAAGAATACAACTAATGGTAAGTGGCAGGACACAGGTGTTTCTGGAAGGCTCTCATGTGCAAAATAATAATCTCTCATCGTGCAGGTAATTGGCATCAGAAATAAGGCTTATATGTGAAACATCACCTGTTTTGTAAGCTCTTGAAAATATCATCTGGCATGCAAGCAACAGCTGCCCCCGAGTTGCCAGATACATGGAACCCCATAGGAGACAGACTCTCCCCCAGTAACTGTCGCTGTACCCCGTCTTTGTTCTCTAAAGTCAGCTACATTTTATATTATATTTCATATTATCGTATTGCATACTGCAGGGGTGGCCAAACTGAGACTCAGGAGCTGCTTGGATTATACTTATATAAGTTGATCATATAAATACACCATTGTAGTAACTTCAGTGACTAGTTATGGACAAATAGAACCATTTCACCTTCTACATCACGTCCATTTGTTTCAAGCAGAATTTTGTTCCAACCTTAAAACTGTTAGTGGAGAGCCAGTGTGGTGTAGCAGTCAGAGCAATGGACTGGAATCCGGGAGAACCAGATTCTACTCCCTGCTTTCCATGGAGCTCACTGGAGGACTCTGGGCCAGTCACAGACTCTCAGCCCAATCCACCTCACACGGTTGTTGTGATGATAAAATGGAAAGGAAGAGGAGGATAGATGTCTTGTAAGAGGAAAAAAGGTGTGCTGTATCTTGTAATATAATAACAATGATTAGTTTGCATGTTTCTTTTTAAAAGTCTGTATGAAAATATGTACATATTTTATATGCAATGTTCCCTAACGCACACATTTTTGCAAGCATGTTTCCCTAATATATGCCTTTTTGATTGCCTTTTGATATATTTTGTACAGTTTTCCCCATGTATGCAATTTTGTGGGCATTATCTTATTGGAGAAGTGCATCAGGAAACTCAGATAAATGTGAAGGATAATTGCATTCCAATTTGCACAGAAGCAATTCCTTGAGTGCCCTTACTGGGTGGAAAGATGGGGCATAAATCAAATAACCAACAGGTCAGAAAATCTGAGTTATCTCTGTTTGTATTCAGATGTGAACAAAATGGGTTTCACACTCATCCCCGCTGGTACATTTGCACTATGTGAGTAGTGTGCCCATCTTGTTCCTTATACCATTCTCTAAAATTATCATCAAGTTTATGTGATTTTATTTATTTTTATATCACCGAACAGCTGAACCTCTCTCAGTGGTACATAACATTTCATAAACAGTATAAAATACAAATAGCAATTAAAACATCATAAAATCATTAATTTATACTGTTAAATTATATTGTTTTATATTATGTTATTTATTTATGATTGTGAGCCGCCCCGAGGCTTCGGCGAATGGGGCGGCATAGAAGTTCCCTAAATAAATAAATAAAAATAATAACATTTCATAGCAGAAATTTAAAAACCAATTTTACATCCAAATTTAAACAATATAAACAGGACAGGCTGATATAACTAGATCTGTTAAAACAGCTGGCATGCCCCCTCCTCTGCCCTGTGCTATTTAGTGCTGTTAAATGACTTGGCAGAAAGGGCAGCTTTAACTTGGTGCCAAAAGGACAGTAGAGAGCCCTTGGTAGGAAACCTGTTGCATAATTGGGGGGCCACAACTGAGAAGGCCTTCCTTCTTGCTGCCACCAGCCAAGCCTCCTTGAACACAGTGTCTGGGCAGACTGCAGTTGGAGCTGCAGTGGATTCCACCTTAGTTCAAACATCTTTGCCCCACCTTTCCAAACGGTCAAGAATGCCTATAATTCAACACTGGCCACAAATCAATTTGCAACCATCAGACTTTTTCTGATTAACTCCCTAACTAATTCTCAAGGACCATCAAAGAATAACCGACAGTTCTCAATACTCAAAAACAGTTTACTATTGCACTGCTTGCAAGAAAAAGCTTGCTCCCAAAGCACACCTACTGTACATGGTTCCGCTTTTTTTGTCACAAGAAGCAGAGCCTTTCTGGACAGGCCTCTTTATGATAAGCAGTGGTCACATTCCAGCAGGCTTGATTTGTGGAAGATAGGACAGGATGGGATACATACAAATGAGGCAGGTGATGCTGGTTTTAGGGGTCACAGATGTGAAGCCCAAGAATTTGAGTCGGTACAGAAGGGCTTTTGCAGTCCTTTGACTCAAATAATATGGCCAAGCTGGAATTAGTGTGCAGAGAAAGAAAATAGCAGCATCGTAAGTACCACCTTTCAGGCTTGGATTTTAACATGTTTGCTAACAGAGATGTTCGCAATATGCTACATCCTGCAGTTGCTGCAGTAAATAGCATATGGATGGCTGCTCACTTACCCAGAAATAATCACAGTAGCTCCATTCAGAAGGTTTCAGCAACTGCTGTTCTGGCATTGCGTCAGGGTGGGGGAAAGTCACGCAGTTTATCTGACAAAAAGGAAAGAAAAATATGCTGGACCATGCAAAGCAGTTCAGAAACATGGATGGGTACACAGAGCATATGTAAAAGAAAAGCACTTAAATGCAATGCTCTTTCTAGCCAGGAGGTGTCATAGAAAGCAGATGGAAGGGATTTCTTGGTGGAAAGCCCCTGTAATGGCAAGGAAACAAACCCCAAGGAAAGCAGCATCTCCAATCAACTGCATTTTGATTCCCTCAAAACTGTTGAATATTTTCTCCAGAACAGAGAGCTCTAAATGGCTGCCTTCTGTCACCTTATTGCTAAAACAGGAAAACAACCACCGGGATCTTTGGATCCCTACACCCACTGTCCTAAGAAGTTCCAGGGACCCCCTAAAAATGTTTCTTTCCCAGATGTGTCACCCAAAAAGGAACCTCAATACTTGTCTTATAATTTCATTTCAGAAGGTCTACACAAAACAATTTCTTACTTGAATGCCACCAAAGTACTTCATAAGCAGATTTTAGGTCTGTACATAAAATATACACACATAGCCCAATTAAAGCTAACAGGCATATTGGAGAGTGAGCAGCAGATTTAAAATAACATTTTACAAAATGGTGACAGATCCATTCTGGCTGTTGAAAACAACTGGAAACTGTTGTGAGCCACCCCGAGGCTTTGTTGTGATGGGGGCAGCATAAAAATGTTTTAAATAAAATAATAAAATAAATAAAAAATAAACTACCCGTTTGTTCTAAGTGAAGCTCCAGGATCATTACATTGGAAAAAATGAACTCAGGAGCAGAATTGCCAACACCACACATCATATGAATACTGCTTCTACCTAAATATTTTGTCTGCTCACAACTGGCCCTCTTTTCTCTCTCTCCCTCTCAAATACTCCTGTTGCTTTGCATGTAGAAGCGGGCAGACTACCTGCTTAGCATGGAAAATATGCCAGGTTCAGTCCTCAGCTTCCACAGGTAAGGCTGCAAAACTCCACCTGAAATGCTGGGGAATTGCTTCCAGTCACTGCTAACCATAGTAAGTTGGATGTGTCAATGGCGTGACTTAGTAAAACACGGCTTCTTATATTCTTATGTTCTGAGTGATATATCTGCCCAGCTGCCAAAGGAACTATAATTCAACAGGTCTAAGGAGTCCTTTGAATTAAATGCCCACATAGCACAATTCCCACACAAAGTCACATGTGTGTTATAATTTCTGTGAATCCCAAGGACTGATCATGAAATGTGGCAATCCCATCTGCACGTCTCTTGTGTACATGAGGTGCACAACTTTTGTATCCTGTATGATGATCTGTGCATGGGAGGCATGCAAATGTCTACATGCAAATGACTTTCAAGAAGGAATTTTGTTATACATGTCATAGAAGTGGAATGGTTAGACAACATTTTAGATGTTACATTTTAACACATATTTTTTAAAGCGTAACTGGAAACTAATTCAGTGAATTAATGAAGCCCACCAGAAAGCATTTATTTAAATTTATAACCCAATTCCTTCATGTCAGGACAAGCAATAGCACATCAAAATGAACACCTGAACTGCAAGTCCTCTTGGATGCAGAGAGACTGAGCTATGATGACGCTTCCAAATGTAGAAAGCAACTAAAATGCTGGCACTCTGCTTGGCAAATGGAAGACATTGATCAAGTGATTGGAGGGGTCATTTACCACGTAACTGTGAAGTACTCATAAAGATGGGATGAGGAAAGAAGAGCGCCATTATTTTGAGCCATGAATATTGTAAGGGGCTTGGGATATATGTGTGTGTGCTTCCAGTCCGAGGACGCAGGAAATCACAGGTGCACAATTTCTGTGATGCACCAGGATCCTTTTGCTACCACAGGGGCAGTAAACTCAATCCTGTTGCAGTGCTTGAGAACCTTCCAGCAGAGCAGGAAAGCTAAGCTAGATTTCTGAAAGGCAGAGCCTGTTTCTCTGTTTCTGAAGCAAAGAAGACTGCTCTAGTGTTGTGAGTTGATGGGGAGGAGCACAAGCTCCAAGAGAGAAACACGCACTGGGGTTCTGTGGGAGTCTGTGTGGATAAGCAGCTATACTTCCACATGCTGAAGAAAAATAAGGGAAAGAGCTCCCACCCAACCAAATACTTAGCTATACAAACTTCCCAACAACAGATGCTGAGCAGGCACAAAGCCCCCACACGTGTGATTCACACGATCATGAGGAAGAACTAACTGGTACCTATGATGGTCATACTGAAGCTGCACTGACCTGGGCATGTTTCCACTTTCCCAAGGTATCGCTTGAGGTGCTACAAAATCTAGGAAATGGAATTGATCAGAAAGCCAGGCAGGACATGCACAAACACACTCACACTCACACTCACACTCTCACACACACACACACACACACTAAACCCATGGGTGTCCTGTCTGCAGTTATGACTGTTTAATACGGGGTTTCCAAATGGCTACTGTCTTCTTCCTCCGCCACAGAAACAAATTAGCACTCTGCAGGCAGTATGAATGGAGGGCAACGCGGTTACTCATGTTCACTGTAATCTGATAAGCATTTGGGGTGTGGGGAGAGAACGTGTGTGCTCATGGATGCTGGGATGGTAGCAAGTGCTTCATTCAAGCTCAACGGGGAGGATCAGCATAGATGGTAGGGGAGAACAGCTGATCACAGAGCAAAAAGGAAAATCTGAGAGACGACGCTAGAATAACAAGAGCGTGTCCAATGTCTGTGGCTCTCAGAGCCTCTGATGAGGCTGCCAGAAAGGTCAAATTACTTCATTTATAGCAGCGTGTTCTGTGATATTAACATGTGTTGACACCTGCAGGGTGCTGCTGCACAGAGGACTGTCACTTGCCCACAAGCTGGTTTGGGGGCTTTTCCCAATTTATTCACATACCCACAAAAACCTCTTAGCAGAGCACTGGCACTGGACCTGATCGGGGGCAAGAAGGGCACCATTTCTTCTTGCGTCCTTGCTACGGGGCACAGCTGCACTTCTATTTGCTGTGTACTGAAATCCTACATGCTGAGCAGAGAAGGGTGGAGGAAGAAAAAGGGCCTTTTTGTGAAGTGGGGTGTACACAGCAGGCAGTTGTGGGGTGGGGACGGGAAGGAGAGTGGCCTTGCTTACACTGATTTTCATTTGCCAGCTTCAAGGGCTAGGCAAGCCCTCTTTCAATGTAAAAGGTACCTTGCAGGGAGCAATCCACCTCTTCAGGCCTGGGATTTTTTAAATTACTTTCACTTGCACACAAAAACAGCACTGAGCTTGTGATGAGATGGATGTGTCACTGTTCGTCAGTAATGCTGTGGGCAAGAGAATCTCTCAGAGACCCTTATCCGGTCCTCTTTCACTCAGAACCTGTTCCCAATTTTGCTTGATGGAGGGAAAATTCATTTCCACCTCCAGCAGATTGAAGAGAATGAATGCAGGGGAACTGGCACCTCAACCACATGGATTATCTTCAACCAGTTAATCACCTGTGCAGATTCCCTAGGAGAAAAACAGCTGCATTCACAGCATGGTTTGGTGTTGCAGAAGGAGACCCTGGGGCCGTTGGTCTCACACATTACCTCCTCACCTGGGGTGCCGTGATCCACAACTTCTGACCCTGGTTTAGGGACAAATCATAGCTTGTCTCAATGTCCAAAAGCCAAACTATAGTTTGGTGCCTGCTTGTAACCAGGATTGCTGTGCTTCTAATTCGTAGGCACACACACAGACCAAAGTGTGGTCACCCCGATGTTGAAGTGAACTTTCTGACTGAACTAGACTGAGAAGTTTCAGATCCTGATGTGGAGGAGGGAGCAGGGAGGGGAAGGGGAATGTGAACCTCACAGCTTGGTCCATGGTTCAATGTTCCATGTGAACACAGCTACACAAAAAGCCCCCTTGAAATTCTCCTGAAGTTTTGATACCTTTCAAATTTCAGGTAAGGAAAACCCATGCATTCCTTATAACACCTTTCCTAGAAGGAGAGTATGAATGCTTGATACATCCGATAGATAGGTTGAATGTTCTCAATGTCAAGTCTCGGTTTAGGAAAAAACACTGAAGAAAATCTGTGGTATGGGGAAGATGTTTGTTTCTGTCTATCAGCTGTCACACTCAGTCACTGTCAGAAGCATACATCAGTAGCCAATAAAGAAATACATAAATAAATGTTTTTTAAAAATTAAAAATCCGTGTCATCACATGGATGTTCTAACATTTGAGTCCACTTGCCAGATGGACCATGAAGAAGAGGACCTTTGCTATGATTGCTGACTTCCAGAAATGTGCAGTCTCCATGCAAATATTTGATACTGTGCTTCAGCGACATACTTGGTAGGCTGGTTTAAACTTTATCCAGAGCCAGACATCACTCCAGCTGTACTGAAGTGAGTTTTTGCAAAGCCATGCCTACAGAGCTAAACTGTGCCTAGCATTTTAGGACTAAGATAATCACCTGGAAGTCATTCAGTCTTTGATTTTATTACTGTATCCATGACAGTAGGTCACTAGTGATAAAACACTGAAGACTATTACAGTCTGCTTCTATTTCCATACCCATCCCTGAGTGAATGGTGTTATCCCCACCGCTAGGTCACCTGTACACATTCAGTGGTTCTGGGGTAACAGTCCCTGAAGTTCTTCCAGGCTCTGATGTTTATGTTTCTATTTTATACTGCAAGGGTGAGCTGCAGAGAAATGGGGTGAACAGAATCAACAGCCCCCAGCAAGATCAGGCTCAGCTACTTTGGTGCCCTTTCAACCCCGGTTAAGTGTAAGGAATGGAAGATGTGTTTATTTCAGGTGTCCACAATTCCACGGAGAAGCACAGTGATTTCCTCAAGAAAGCACAAATGGCCAGACTGCTTATATTCAAATCCAAACCTGATTCCTACAATAAAAGTGTGTTTGAGAGAGAAAGAGAGCAAATGTATATTTTTCAAACAGGCCCAGTTTGGGGTGGGAAGTGGGGAAAGAAACAGTCAAACTGCATTTCACACCTGGAAAAACTGAATGGCAGTACTGAGCAAAAAACACCTGTGATGCGGATCATCATTTCATCATGGTACTCTTGTCCCCTGATGGCCTCCCCCACCCCACCACTCCGATTCACGCTGTGGTATGTCATGTTGTTTCAACAAATTCCTTTCCACTGCTGTAGCTAGCAAGAGAGCAAACCTCACACTTCCACAGGGAAATGTTTCCTCTTTTTTACACCATTGCAATACAACTGGGCCAGGTTTCTGAGTAATAATGATGAGGAGGGATAAGTTTGGACCTAATGAAAGATTCAAAAGGTCTGCCAAAATTCAAAACGTTACATCTCATCCTCTCCTACAGAGAAAGTCAAACATGCTGGTGACCTCAGCCAAAGTGTTTACTAGGATGACTTCACAGGGCATCTTTTCACAAAAGAATTGTGTTTTTTTTCTTTAGTCCACTGTCAAATCTGCAAAAGAAACCAACCTTGAAAAAAAGGCTTTACAAAACCTTAGTGTCAACTTTTATCATCATGTATTCTGCCCACAGGAACATTCCATTCTTTAGATTACTCTGTTGGCTATTAATTGCTCAATCTACCCAGAAGCAACTTTGAACAAAAGGAAACACTGCTGCAAGTGTAATTTTAAAATCACAGCACAGAGAAGTGCCTCCCACCCCCTCTCTTGCATTTTGATCTTCTTTCCTGTCTCTCTGTAGCGGGCTTTTTGCTAGCTTCAGCCTTTTAAAAATGGCTTCAATGCAGCTATCGCTGTGGGAAGCGAGCACGGTGTTTACATCTGGCAAGCGTAAGGCAGACCCCTGTGCATGGAGCCCCCCCGCCACCTTTCCTGCCCCGCAATGCTACTTGCTCTGGTGACTGGGTCACCATAGCAACTGGACCGGTGATCATCTCGGTGGGATTCTACTTACCGTAAAGGTAGTCTCCTTGTTCTGCTTTCGAGTAGGGGATGGGGACCCAGGACTCTGAGGAGAGAGGCAAGAGGCATCGTCAAAACTGCACTCCACATCCGACATGGTCTGTATTTTATTTTGAGGGATGCTGTTTGCAGCGGGGTCTAGTGCTGCACACGAGCCAGGGCTGAGGAGGGTCCCTTTTGCTGTGCTCCCCAGCCTAGCCTTTTCCCATGTCCGGAGGTGCCACAGCCTGAGAGCTGAACTCTTGCCTGGGAGACTCCTGCACTGTGTTCACGAAGCCGCACACAGGCTCTGTGCAGCCAGATAATTCGTCCTAAGCATGGTGACACCTCCCCTTCCAATCAGTGCCAAGCTTTGGAATTAACCCTTCAGCTGCATGCCAACTCTGGAAGAGGGCTCCTGAGCCACCCTGCCTCCAGTTAGCATCGCCACTTTCTCTGTAGGTTCACTAGGTGCATGGCATCCACTTTCCCCACCTCGTTATCTCATCTTAAAAGCCCGGACAGCAAAAGAGGAGACAGAGGCTTTGGAGTGAGGTGAAGAACACAATGCAGGTGCCCCAAAGGCTTCCTTCTATCTCCAGTTGCAAGTTACTGAAAGCATCACAAACTGCCACCTGCATCACACTGTCAGAAATAGAGTGAGCCAAAGGAAACCACCACTTTGGCACTTTATCCAGAGTTCGACAGAACCATGTTTCAAGCATATGTGTTATATGTTGTTCTGTCTGAAGCTACGTGCAACTGTTAATAGCAAGCTGGAACATGTTCTCTTGCACCCTCAGTTGTAACTTCTTGCCTATGCTGCTGAGCTTTATAGTCCTTACTACAGATTGTCTGACAAAATACCCAAAAAGGGTGCAGACTGTATTGTCCAGCCATGCATAAAACAGCAACAAGAATATCTTGAAGATAAGCAGAAACCACAACAAGAACTATGAGAATTTAATAAGCCTAAACTATCTCCCATAAGAAACAGGCCCCCTAGTCACCTTTAAAACCAAACAAAACTCCAAAGGTGCAGAGATGCCATATTGTCTTGTGGGACGTCTCTTCCAGAATCCTGTTTGCATGTGCTGAGGATACAGCTTGAATCCAGTTCTTTTCCTGTTGACTGATGCTATTCTTCTTCTATAAAGCAGCCTCACAAAAGTGAAACAGCACCCTAGCATCCGCTCTTACTAGTTTTAACTCAAGGCTGGCACTTGCTCATCCAGATAAGCACAGCTCCGTAAGTTTTAATGTCTTGATCACAAGAAATGCTTTTCTTGTAAAATGAATGAATGAATAAATTATAAACAAAACAGAAACAAAACCAAAAACCATTCATTGTTAGCCATGCATAGCAGGAAAAGTATGCCCCGAACAGTAGACTGCAAAACAAAAACCAACTACTTCCTCCGATGGGAAGAACTGTGAAATGAAGAATTCTAACCATCACCTCCTTTCTACAAAGTGCTTCTGTTTCTAGTTTTCTCATCAGCCTGTTCTCTAAGCAAAAACAATGCTTTTGAGCTGTCCTTGGTTTCCTTCTATGCAATGTGTTTTCATGCCCAACAAATTGCTAGGCTCAGTAGCAAACCTAAGCTGAGTTTCTAAGCAATCAGATGTATCACAAATACCTTGAATTCCTTGAATCATATTTATCAGAAATTAGCATAGGATAGTTCATTCTCTTACTGTCTAGGCCCGTGCTTTCCAGGTGACCTACTAGGCTGCATGCCCTACTAGGTGCTTCACAGTCAATACAAGCCTCACCTGAGTCTTGCACACAACTGCTCTGAGGACAGGTCTGCTACTTTACCCTGGTTCACAAACGCCAGTTGTGAACAAGAGGTGTACACACAAAAGCACGGAGCTTTTACATCCATCATCCCTGTCCTCTAGCAGGGTTACAAAGACAAAGAGGCTAAAAGCTTGCACCAAGGAAAGGTCCTCTTGACTCAACATACCAAACATATAATCATCCAGAGTTCTTATAAAAGGAGGACCAGTAGGGACCAAGGTGAAATTGTGCAGGAAGGCACCTATGGAGCATGGTCCAGGCGAGTGAAATGTGCCACACATGCTATGGGAGATGTCATGAACTCTGACTCAGGAGGTGGACAGGTCAGGAATTGCGTTTTCAACAGTTCCACAGTGTGTGGTATGCAGATTACTTTCTGAGACAAATGAGAACAACTTCAGCACTTCCTTCTCAGCTTGCGATTAAGCAGAAGAAATAATGATACAAGCACATGCTCTCTCAGTGGGGCGCTCCATTCACTTGGTTAGTTTTAAAGATAGTGAAGACTAGATACAAAGTCTGGAGGTGTTACATCTCCTCTGGAAATCTTCAGAGTTTCCACATTAGATAAAATGTGGGTCATCCTGCCACCCGAATCTGGTAATTTTAGAGCTTTTCAGCATAGGCCTTGTTTCACTTGAGAGCAACTCCTCGTGAAATGAAGATGGGAAGGTCACCACATGCAGCTTTGGCTAAGCGTACGAATCTGCCCTCCATAACGTTAGTCAGCAGAAAGGGAGGAAAAATGACAACTTGCTACATCACCTCCTTTCACAGGAACACAATGTAAATGAGTGAGGGGAAAGTGATTGGCTCTGGACTAGGGAACAGTCCTCTTCAGGGCCAAAATTGATCTTGGCTTCTCTTAAACTAGAGGGTTAGAAACCACCTGGTCTAAGAGGCATTGGGAGGAAAGGGAGGGGCTTTGCTTCTCTTCCCAAATCTGGTGCCTTCTGAGCCATCTACATTTCTCTATTCACATTCCTATTGTGCTTCATGTTGCAAAATCCAGCTATTTTAAAGTCCAGCTTAAACAAACAAACCAAAAGAGGTAAAACACTGTACAGTGTTGAAGATTTTAAAACTGCCTAGTGTTTGAATTTCAAATGCTCAGCTGCAAGTGGGAGTATGTTAAGGTGGGGAGTTCTTTTTGGCAGCACTGCTAAGGAGAGACATGGGGAAGGGGCACTAAGAAGGGAAAGGGGGTGCTTTGGCACCTGCGCAGTTCACAAGGCCAACAGAGTCTTTTTAGCCAAGCTCTTGATATTCTAAGATATGGTTTCCTGACTCAAAAAGGATGCAGTAGTGCGAAAGCTGCATCGCCCTCTAAACCATGATGCCATGGATCAAAGACTTGTGTTCCCAAGTACATTCATTCTAATCTGAAATGTATAACCTGTTCAAGGTAGTTCACGAGTAACTCTAAACTCAGATTTACACCTGTGCAGTACCTCCCAGTGACTTATAGGCAGTGGCTAGAGGGTCAGGACTGGAAGGAGGAGTTCAGGTTCAATCTCCACTCAACTATGAGCTTCTTCTTAGTTGCCTCGAGCAATATCTGTCTGTCCAGCTTCCTGCACAGGGCTGGCAAGCAAGAGTTAAACTCTACTCAAATCCCTGAAGGAAGGGTGGGATAACACTGAAGTGAATACTATGAACTGCAAACCCAGCTGGAATGCATCATGTTTGTGGTGATGTCAGCTGATACCGAAGTTTTCTTGGGTGTCTGATCTGCAATGGTTGTTTCACACATGCAGGCATGGTTTTGATATTGCACGATCAAGTGGGGAATAGAAATATGTGAACTTTCCCTGAAAATATGTTTACTTTGAAATGCTGCTAATGCAGAATATTGGAAATGGAAGAAAGCTAGTTAAAAAAACAAACATCCTTGTCAATTTAGCCTCTGCATGGGATTCAGAAATACAGGAACTGTAAAAATCAATTTAGGCACCATTTGTCAAATTGGCCTACGTAATTCCACAGCGTGCAGGGAAATGGGAAGAAGCAATCTCAAATGAACAGCAGTATGCTGAGGACTGGGTTCATGATCATAATTTCCCATTTCTAACAATATTCATTATTTGTGATGTATAATTTTTACCCTCTTCATCCTCACAGCCACATTATTATTATAGGTATATTTGAAATGAGAAACTGATGCTGAGACAGTAACTTGCTAAATCTATTTTGCAAGCTCACAGCTTTAAATTAAACACACATGGATGGTTGAACAGAGACCTGAAGCTCATCTTCAGTGCTACTTTCAATAGAACGTGTGGGGCCAATTTGGATGTCAATGTAGCATGTGCCCGAATGCTTCCAGCAGGAGCGACTAAATCAGAGATGGTCAGCTAAGGTGGCCCGGAAGGCAATTTTACTCTCCAGAACCTGCCCCCTATAGGCTTCACTTCCTCTCCCAAGGTGCTGGCAATTATTATTTTTATTACTCATTTTATTTCTATACCACTCAATAGTCAAAGCTTCCTGGGAGATTCACAGCAACTCATAAAATATGATTAAAAAACCAAAAATGTATATAGTCACAACAATATTATAACATTTCAATGCAAAATTTAAATACTAAATTTAAAAATGAAATTTAAACAGCTTAATTGCTATGACAGCTTAAGGCACCAAGACTTGTTGAGCAGCTATGCTATTTAGAGCTGTTAAATAACTGGCACAGAGGGCAGCCTTCATCTGGAACTGAAAGGATAGTGCCATCGGTGCCAGGTCAGCCTAAGTGGCAAGCTTGTCCACAATTGGGAGGCCACCACTGAGAAGGCCCTTCTCCTTGTTGCCACCAACCCAGTCCCTTTTGCAGGTGGCATTTGGAGGAAAGCCTCAGATTTTGACTGTAGTGTGTGGGTAAATTGCGGTTGGGAGAGACATTTTACCAAATATTCCATTCCCAAGTCATGTATGACATGCAGAGGACTAATGGAGCAACTTCTGATGCTCCATAGCACTAATGTAAGAATAAACAGGCAAAAAAGAGTCAAAATGGCTACTTGGATGCTTTAAGAAAATCTTTCATACTTTTGGATGGCGGAAGTGGAGGACCACATGGGGGGCAGTGGAGAGCGCATATGGCCCATGGGCCATGTACTGCCCTATACTAAGCAGGCCAGGAAACACCTGTCCACAGCCTGTGTTGTATTATGTCTGTACTGTGTTCCCACGTTTGTTGTTCTCCTAAGAAGCCAAATTCACAAAGTCAAGACTTACAAGTTTGCTTTGTTAGTAGAACAACAAACCAAAGATCTCAGTTAAGGTATAATGCTAAACTAACCACAGACGGAGGTTTTCTGGTTTGTTTACTGGTAGGAGGAACAAATCTGGAGTGACCAGAAAACCAGTGCCAACACACTCATTCATTCCCGAAAAGCCAGAATTATGATGAACTCAGTCTTATTGTTACATATGAACCACGCCACTGGATCTCCATAGAACAGCTGCATCCACTTGTCATGCCATGGCTGTGGGTCTGATGATCACTGCAAGGAAGCACTGGATGGACACTTCCCCCAGCAATGCTGTTGCCTCTCCCTTCCCTCAACTCATTCCTTGAAAATGCAGTGCTGTCAAAACCCTGGCTGGCAGTTGGCAAGATGCTGGCAGGAGAGAGGGACAGTGGCAGAGGACGCTTGCGCACTGTCCCCTGGCAAAGTCCTCACACACATGTGCTCTGAAGCCTCCCAAGCAGAGCGGGGTGGAGGCGGTTGAGGAGCACTTTGTGCCAAAGGCAAAAAAGACATCATGGCCCAGTGCTGTCTGGTCCAGGGAAGGGTAGGTGGGAACAATTATGTAGTCACTATGAATCTTACAAGTGAGGATCCAGTGGCCTTCCTTTCTCTCACATGGAGAAAGCAAGGTGATCCAGTAGCTGTTCAGGTGTTCTTTGCACCTGCTGCAAAGAGGGGATGCAATAATCTGGCTGCATCCTGGTTAAGGAACATGCAGGCAAGGTGGGGTGGACCTGGGCACTTTGTCTGCTACTGCAAGGAAAGGAAGGGGACTGTCCACTTCCTTGTTGGAGAAAGCATAGGGAGGGTGCTGGCACCACTGGTGTTTTCTGCTCTGCACATAGCAAAGAAGGCCAGGAACGTGTGTATGTCCTGGGTAGGGAGGATACAGGGTGAGAGCCAACAAACCTTTTCAGTGGCCAGCTGGTACTGGAAGACCCTCTGCTTGTGCTGAACTTTACTGTAGCCAACCTGCCCCCAAATCTTAATTAGTCAGAAGAGGGTGAGAGGAATTAGGAGAGCAGAGCTGGTCGGCAGTGACAGTGTTGGACTGGGGACCCAGGAGATCCAGGTTCTAGTTCCCGTTCAGACATGAAACCCACTGGGTGACCTTGAGCCAGGCTCTTACTCTAAACCTAACCCACCTCAAAAGGTTCTTGTTGTGAGGATAGAATGGAGGACTAGATAAGCCATCTTGGGTTTCTCACAAGAGGAAAAGGGGCAGAATATAAATGCAATGTAGTAGCAATAAAATACCTATAACAATAACAGAAAGAAAGAACAATAGACTAGAGGAACACACTCTCTAGCACAGACCCTGTCCAGCCAAAGCTGGTCTGGGGACACAAGGCAGTTCCTCTCACCAGGAAAGACCCTGTCAGTTGTCTTGTGAGATGGGTAAACTCAAAAGCCATGCAATACCCTACAGAAAATGGCAGAAGCCCTCAAGGTTTATCTTAACTGAAGAGGTATTCTGTGATCCTTTAAGAAATCTCTAGAAAGAGTAGGACCTAAAGGTCTAGCCCATGTATTTCTGCAATGGGATTTCAAGTCACCAGCTTATTTGATTTATCTTGGCATATTTCAAGTCACAGGTGATAGAGGTGCTTGAATAGTTGTTTTTAATTGCATACAAACTTGTAGACTTCATTGCCATAAGACCTGATTGTTTTGCAAGAATGAAGAGGAAATGCCAGGATACGAAAGGCCATCTTGACGATAGTGTCCCACAGTTACAGAGCAAGAATATGCTTGGTGTAATTGCTACTAGAAATGTGACTAATTCTAATTAGTCCTTGACCAAAAGGAAAGCACATTGCATGATTAGCCTGAAGAACTCCATGCTACAAAATGATCACAGATGGGTGAAGCTGAGCAAGATCAGTACGAGCTTCCAGAGATAAAAATAGCAAACAGAAAAAGAGAGAGATTAACTGTTCAGGAATACAAGGGCCTTGAAGTTCATAGCACAAGCTTGGACTCAGCTGTGCAGTGATAATTCAATTTTTAAATGAAATAAGGATTCCAGTGCTTCCTCCCACTAGAAATATCTACCACCACTATTTCTAAGCAAACAGAAATATGGAGAAGAAAAGTCTTTATCTGTAACGGGAAGCATTCTCTGCACTTACCTGGGTGTCACTGCCAACCCTGCGGAGACTCATGTGGCTTGGTTCTAGCTGGGGTACCAGAGTTCCAGGTATGTGATATCCATTCACTGTAAAGAAGAGACATGTGCTTAGGCTGAGGAGCTGGGGTAATTCCAAAGAAGGAAGTAAATGAGTTTATGTAGCCTCTGCGACTCAAAGTGATTACTGGGGCAGATCATCTACTTCCAATAAAAGCAGAAGCTTGGTGAAACCCTGTAACAAGGTTAGCAAGCCCATTGACATGAAATGTTCTCAAGATTTCTCATATAATAAAGCAGTATGTAAATACAAGAATATTCCTACATCTTATTGTTTTTGGTTTAGTCCTACCCACACTCCCAACATACACATGCATTTTTAAGCCGCTGTGGGAGCTGCTACAATTTTCCTCCTTGCTTTTTAGGATCCTTTCAGAAGGAACAATACCTTGTGATAGTATTTACTTACTTATATATTAACAGAAATAAAACTGCATGGCAGAAAGAGTGAAAGAATAAGTGACAGATCTGGAAACATCAGCAGGAGGGAATTCACCCTAACCCTGTCTATTCCTCATTACTGCCATGCGGTCTCCCCAATTCCTCCTTCCTCACTACCGATTATTTTTCTCTCCTACAGTTTGGAAGTCAAAAGCATCTTAGATAGGATGAGATGTGCTCCAACCATAATTTCAGCTGATGCTGTCTGTCACCCAGCCTTTCTGGTGGCTCAGACCTCAAGGATTTCAAAAAAAGTCAGCGCCATAAATATAAGTAGCTTGTTGATAACCAGGAGACAGCTCACAGCAACACACCCACCCGTTCTGAAATTTAAGTGTGCATCATGCCAAGCCCCACCCCATTCCCCTAAGGACAGTCATGTGCAAAAGTGCAAGTGGCCTTCGCTAAAGCTGACTGGATCTTAACTGCCCATTCAAGACCAGGGACACCCCAAATGCAATTGCATTGCAACAGGGAACAAGACACTGAAACAGTCAGCAGGATCACACAGGGGGAAATAGGCCACAGTGGTATATTCCTCCCTCCACACATGCCAGCCACATGCTGCAGGTGGGGAAGGATGAGCATAGTCCTTGGCAGTGTGGCTCGTAGGGTCATGCAAGCCTGGCCAAGGTGGCCTGTTGACATTGAGAACAAGATACTCAGAACCCAGGGGAAGTTGCATGGTTCTGAGTGGCACATTACTCAGGTTAACAAGCCACCATCATGGGCTTCACACAACACAACAAGCTGCCCTGCCCCGGTCACTATGCTAATCCGCCTGGCATGGGACAAGCATTTATGGGGGTGGGGGGGAGACATGGTGGCTTATTTCCCCACTCTGTGATCTTACAAACCCGGTCACTGTTGCTAGGAAAATTCATTTCCCTCTAGCAACTGTGAAGACTGAAGCTAAGCTCAGGGCAAACAGGAAATTCTGAGAAGGGTAGCAGATGGCCGAGGAAGTAACATGCATTGGCCTGCAAACACCACTTTCATTCCCAGGCAAAGAAGATGCCACAGGCATGCTCCCTTCTGGTACGGGCTGCCATGTGCAACCTCAAAAGAGTATTTTCTTTCATGAAAGCGAGCGCACGAGCCTTCCGACTGATTCATCCCATACCTGTAGGCAAGGAATTCTTCTGTGTCACAGGGCTCTTTGGGGTCCCAGGCACGCTGCTTGGCCGCTCCCAAGTGGTCTCTGTTCAAAAAAGCAACATTAATGTCAGTGCAGCAGGGAAGACCAGCGTGTGTGTGTGTGTGTGCACAGGACAACTCTTCTTGCCCCGCTTCATAGCCTCTGGAGCCTATCAATGCCTGCTGTTGACAGGTGAGCGTCTGATCTGTGCCGCTTTGCAAAGTGCTCAAATGCCGGAGATTTCAGATAGTGTGGTCTCTCTTGAAAGCATTATAGAAGGCAGGTTTCCCCCTCTAGCAATTTTCACACAGCCACACTCTGGGTCCTCTCAGGTGTGTAAAGTGTGAAGCAGCCTGATGTGTCTAGACTGCTGGGGGCAGGATAGCAAAAGCAACACACCTGATCTCCCAAAACCCAGCCTCGCAAAGCTTAAGCCAAGCCCCTGAACATCCTTTGCATTATTATTTGCATTCATATCATCAAGTTTTTTTCCTCACGAAAGAAACCCATGCTGGCTTACATGGTTCTCTTTCCACTCTCCATTTTATCCTCCTAACAACCCTGTTCAGTATGTTAGGCTGAGAATCCGTGCCTGGTCCAACATCACCCAGTGTGGTGTACTGGTTAAGAGCATGGAACTGGGACTCAGGCGATCTGCGTTCTAGTCCCCGCTCAGCCATGGAGCCAGCTGGGTGACTTTGGGCCAGTCACAGACTCTCAGCCCAGCCTACCTCACAGGGTTGTTGTTGTGGAGATAAGATGGAGGAGAAGAATGATGTAAGCTGCCTTGAGCCCTTTGAGTAAAAAGGCAGGATATAAATCGAAAAATAAATAAATAAAATAAATCTCCAAGTGGGAACTTCCTGGTTTTCTAGAGTACCAGTCCAACATGCTAACCATGTTGTACCCCTCAAGCCATGGCTCAGTCCTGGAATATTCTCAGCAAAGCACAGGCTGAGCACATGCAGAATATCTTTCCACTGCTGCTGCTTAATCTGGAAGAACTACTCATGAAAAGCACCAGCTCTGTCTTCCACTGCAATCCTTTCTTTTGGAATGCACTTTCGCCTATTTTGAATTGCTCATCCATTTCCACAAGGAAATTTGCAGGGAGCATATTGAACAAAAATGCTTCTTCCCCTGTTAAGCTACTGGAACATTAAAAGTAACAACATTCTCCTTTAGGTTTCACAGCTATGCTAGAGAATGTGCCACTTCATGACACATGGATCACATCTGGCAAGAAACCAGGTTTAAGCAAGAAATCATTGCAGCTGCCATTCAAGGGATAATCACAAGGCAGTGTTTCTGCTGGTAGGTGGTGTAGTAACTTTGAATTAACCTCAGACTGCTGCTCACTTTGTTCAGAGGCATGATCACAGACAGGGAGAACGCGGCTGCTGGCCTACGAGTGATGCAGTGCCGTTTTCTTTTTATGACTGCAGGTGGAAGATCATTTGACACACCTACCGTTTTTGTCCTGAGAAGCTGCGTGCTGGATCTATGCAGGCCAAGCATATTAACGTAATGCTCAGAAAGACAGCATGGCAAGTTACATGTCCAGTTAATTCTAAAAGCTATGTTGAGGAATGCTGTAAGAAGCATTACTCAAGGAGGGAGCGTGGGCAAAATTTCACAAGCATGCATTTAAATTTATTGCAGCCTGGGATCATGAATTTCAAGACCTACTAGTGGCTGGCAGCAACATTTCAAAATTACAAGTCAGGCAACTGGGCCAGCTAAATACTAACCTTTTCATTCTTATATAATGGTTCTTCAAATAGCCCTTTCTAATCATTCATCGTTAACTGTTTAATTAATTAATTTCTATACTGCCCAGTAGTGGAAGCTCTTTGGGCAGGAAACAAAATACATTTTAGAAACACCAATAAAAATCACATTATAGATTTTAAAAATATATATTAAAGACATTACTAAAAGTTTATAATACAAAATTTAAGATCACACATCAAACAGGTATGTGTGTGTGTCATAACTTAAAGAAGAAGGAAAATATTCAAGCCTATAGCAACTAGCAGGCCCCCAAAGTTATTTGCATGCCCTGCAGTTTTATTCCCCATGCCTCCGTCACTCATTCAGGAGGAAGATTTCTGCCAATGGCTGACGTATGAAGTCTTCATAACGCAGCTTAGGTACTGCACTGCAGTACATCTCATGCCACCATCATAAACATTGCATTTGTATGGCACTGGCTTTATAGAATAATAGTACTTTAAACATTCAGAATGCTGTGCAATGGACATTCTTTCCACAAAATTGTGAAGTCTGTCTGCAGTAATGGAGCGGTTATCACTCGGCCGTTACGCAGGGTTCTGCTCCGTTCAGGCAATATCCAATGGGCACTGTGCCTCTGCCAACTCCATTCCGCAAGGGGCTTCTCCCACTGTGCAAGCAGGGCCCACTGTTTGCACAGGGGACATGTGGCAACCTGCACCATTTCTGAAATGGGCAGTTCTGTTTGCTTCTGGCTGTGCCCAGAAGTGCTAAATTTCCACCGCAAGTTGCTAACACAGAAGAACAGACCTGACAGAGATGCAGTATCCCCCGGGATGCTGCCCTCTGCTCCAGGGATGTAACAGCTCCTCAGTATTTTATTTTGCAACTGGGAGGATGCTACTTCTACGCCACCAAATATATCCATTAGTATTATGACTGCTGTGCAATTTTTAAAACTTTAAATTGGTGTTTTACTTTGAATCTTATCAGGAGCTGTTTTATGCCAACCATGAGCCTCTCCAATCCCATAAAGCCTACTCTGATGGGGGAAAATATCCCCAGGGGGTCAGTTAGTGGTTTTGCAGCAGTGCTTTCCAAGATCCTTTCAGGCAAGGATGCCAGGAACTAAACATGGCACACTAAAATACTAATAAGCTATGACTCCTGCCAGTGCATCTAAAAAGAAAAAGGTGAGCTGCAGCATCTCCTGCAGCAACGCTTCCAGCACAGCTAATTATATTGGGGTGGGATTTTGCACCACTGGTACTGAAATCAGGGTTAGCACAAGTACAGCACTAAAGGAAATGCCTGCCTAGTCACAGAATCAGAGAACAGTAGCATTGGAATGGGCCAGAGGGTCCAACCCGCTGCTCAGTGCAGGACTCCATGATTCGCTCAACATGTGGAACTGGGTGGTTTTTTTCCTCCCAAAGGACACCATGTTTGTGGATGGGTCATGTGTTGTTCATCATGAGTCACAACTGTATTGCATTGTAATGCACCGCCTCACATTTGGAAGACAGGTGGTTCACATGCTATCCACCCACCCACCTACCTTTTTTCTTGTTTGAGTTCAAAGATTTAGAAGACCAGTTCACCACAAGCGCAGTAGAATCATGTACTAAGACACACCAGTTGCACATGGGACAATCACGTCAAATGACCCCAGAGCTGAATGTCATACATGTTACTAACGACACATGCCATCCTTCCAAAATGCTAAGGCAACTTTGCTTGACTACAACCATTTTCCTTATGAAACTATGGCCATGGTTTTCAGCAACAGTGGCCAGGATCAAGCATAGGCTAGCTAGCCTTCAGCTCTCTGGGTTGCTTCTGCTGTTCTATTCTACAGGGCGGAATCCAATGGGGAACACCCACATGCAGCCAGCCCCACTGCTTCTGTTTCATGCATGGTACCCAAGCAAAGAGACTCATTTCTGCAAAGGTGCAGGCTGGCGGAGCTCACATGGAGAGCCCCAGAAGTACTAAACCTCTGTTGCAAAAAATAGTTGGTGCTGCTCCTCAAAGAACTTGCAATGCTGGTCAAATGTGGGGTGGGGTGGGGGTCCTTCATGAGGACCTGTAGCATTCAACATTCCCGTTTGCCTTGGTCTCTTGCAATCCCCACAAATGAATATTCACAATTCAAACAGTCATCACCCCAGTGATGCAGAAATCCTTTGGCCCAAGCATTCAAGTGCAAATCATTGGTCCCCGCAGGCTTAAAAATATAAAAAGGCACAAAAGGCAAACAATTAGCAAGTGTGATATTATTAACGCTGTAATTTGCTTAGCATTCCATTTCCTATTTTTCTGTCTGAGTTACAGCTTGTATTTTAGACTTGTTTGGAATGTCTGCATAGAGATGGCAATAGTGAGTCATAAGGGATTGCAGCAGTGCAGAGTACACAAGTGCTCGATTAAAGTGTAGAATGTGTGTGCTTCATGATAAAACAGGGAAAAGAAAAAGCACACAGTAAGACCTATTAAAGGAGATGGAGAAATCTAGCATTCTTTCTCTGAAAAATGTCAGCCTAGTACTTTATATTTTTAGTACCAACCATTACCAGGCATAATTGTACAGAATCAGATCACATTTATTTACTTACTATGATTATACAGCCACCACATAACACAAGTTATCCGGGCAACTCGCAGAACAAAACAAGGCGCAAGCATGTCAAACAACCAAGAAAGTATTTCAGTTTGTACAAACTTGCCACACTGCAGATTTTTCAGACTCTAGCTCTAATTAGAGAAATAAATTTGAGTTACGTAGAATTTTGAACAATGCATTATTTACTAAGTTAGAGTGAGATAAAGATGGCTAATTTTGCCTGAGGCTAAGCTACACCCACCACTCCTCCAACTAGACTCATATCAAGTGAGGCTTAGGATGCCCCAGTGCTGCTCTAAGCTCAGCTCCCATCTTGCATGCTTACCTTTTTTAATGGAGCCTAGCAGTTCTTCTGTCCTTAGCTATGAACACAACCTGCCCTTCTCACCTGATTTTCCCAGATACAATGAGACTTTGCTTGTGCAATCATTAATGCATTAGCACTAGACAGCCATTGCGGTGCACTGGTTAGAGTGCTGAACTGAAGACCCGGGTTCTAGTCCCACATTCTCCTCCCCATGAAGCTCAACAGACAAATCTGGGCCAGTCACAAAGTCTCAGCTAACCTATCCCACAAGATGGTCCAAGCATCAAAGTGGAGTGGAAGAGGTGGGGGATATGAGCCACTCTGGTTTCCTTGAAGGAAAAGGGCAGGTTACAAATGTGACAAATTAATTAATAGACCAGAGGCAGGGAATGCATAGCC